ATCAATATGTGTTTGAGTAAAAAAGTTGTATTTTGGATTTTTAACCTACATTAAATAGAATGAGCATGGACATTAATACTAGAAGCAATACTATATATCTTATCAAGTTCCAGACGTTTGCAGAATCTTCTGAAAAGCAAACCATTACTCTTTTACTTTTAACAGGCCTGCTTAAAAATATAATGCTGTTGCATATACTTTAATATAAACAATAACAACAATGATATATTTTGAAGTAAAATATTAACGTTCATATACTACATATAATATTTTCGGATTTTGTGTTCACAGAGAAATGTATGTCAAATACGTCGATAAAATGATTTTGTGGCATATAAAAACTATTATTACAATCAATGCCCGATGTCACAATATGTTTGCTAAGTTTGATATATCTGGATATCGGTTTGATTGGAGATGGATAAATATTATATTGAAAAATAAAATCGAATTCCAGTCTAGATTACCACAGTTCCTGCAATTAAAGAATTGGATTTATTTAGACCAACGCTTTGTCCCCGAATATATATAATTTTGATAGTAACAAATAAACCCATTAAAATTGAAAAAGAGCCCCAGGGTGTTGGTGATTCAGGCCTGAACCTGGGAAATCTAGACTTGCTTCATTTAGGGCTTTAGCATTGCAGGGAGGGCTAGGTAGTGGGGATCATAACGTGGATCAGGGACTGTGAGACAGGCTAGGGTTTATTTTGTAGATGTATATTCATAAATAAGATCATTTCATTATTTGTGGAACATAATGTTAGTCCAGATACTTGTATACGGGTTTCAAAGTCAGAGCCGTCATATCCACTTGATGAATTTACTTTGATATAGAGGCGCACACATATATTGACGTCTTGTATTTTCAGTTGAGAGCAACTAACGATGTTGTCTTCTTTGGGACGGGATCAGATGAGGTCCACTGTTGACACAATACAATATCCTTCAGTAATGCAGTATATTACATTAGGATATAATTCACTCTTTTACCCAGAGGTCCATGCTGAGGCACCATTGTGCCTGAGTGGCTATAACTAAATTCATATGGTGAATGCAAATTTTGAAAATCTAGACAAACGTAATTCAAACGTCAGTTAATGGTGTTTTTTTTTCTGTTTTCCTCTAACATCATCGTCAGGGCGTTCACAAAAACGGACACGTTGTGATCCTTTTACGTGGGCTTCACATAACTCACAGTGTTTGTAAAGTAATAATTCCTCATAAATATATTTTAATCCTTGACGAGCCTACTTTTAGTGTTTCAACGCTAATTCTGGGTATGCTTTTGAAAGTTTTCTTCCATATACTTCTTCGAAGTAAACGAATAAAAATCGTCTGAAATTCAACAGCAATTTTCAAAATCACATTTTTTCCAACTAATTGCCAAAGGAAGTGTCTTTCCTCTGATTTTTCCATTTTTAGAAATATTCCAAGGTTGTTGAATTTGCATGAGCTAATGTAAAAGCAATGACGTAAGGAGGAATGTTCGTGATGCACACATTAACACCATTATCAGGTATAACACCTTCGCCGACGCGTGACAGGGCTAGAACAATGGGTGTCAGACCGGGAAAGCCACATTTTAAAAATGACTATTGTCAGGAAGGCCACATTTCAATTACATGGCTGTAGCCGGTAAAGCCACATTTCCAATAGATTAATTAATTAATGGATTACCGTAGCTGGTAAAAGACTGTTCCTACGCTAAACGCCAAAAGAAACGTTACCCTCCAACCATCTATTAATTTCTTAAATACAAAAATATGTTAGAAATACAGCTTTATGAAAATCACGAACCAAATTCTCAAACGCATTCATATTTAGGTGAACTGCATCGTTTTCAGAAGAGTTAAATTGTCCAATTTTCGACCATGCCGAAATAAACCAATAACAGTGAGTTAGATGTCCAAAAGAAAGGGTGACATATAATTCTGCTTAAGACAGAGATAAACCATTTAAAGTCACCATTTTTCAATTATTAAAACAAGAAACAACTGTTGTAGAGTGTGTAAAATTGTAAAAGCATCACCTATGATTTCAGTCTTTTAAAACATTTCCTGCTGATTTGCATTAGTGAAAACAAGTACAACGTGTCTTTGATATTGTGAAAAAGTGGTTAGGAACACCGAAAATGATCGTTGTCAATTCCACGTGTAGAATGATTCTATAGGGTATAAAGAGAGCCTAGAATGGATGATATGATACACAAGCACGAGAAATATGCCACGATTAACAGCGGAAGAAAGGGAAAGAGTCATTAGGATGTTGCAGATAGGGTCAACATACAATGCTGTTGCCAACGCCCTCGGATGCCACCATATCACGGTTTATAAGACTGATTCAGGGCTTCAGACAGACTGGGGGTCACCGTAAATAGACCAAGTTCAGACGTTTGCAGAATCTTCTGAAAAGCAAAACCATTACTCTTTACTTTTAACAGGCCTGCTTAAAAATATAATGCTGTTGCATATACTTTAATATAAACAATAACAACAATGATATATTTTGAAGTAAAAATATTAACGTTCATATACTACATATAATATTTTCGGATTTTGTGTTCACTGAAAATGTATGTCAAATACGTCGATAAAATGGATTTTGTGGCATATAAAAGCTATTATTACAATCAATGCCCGATGTCGTACAATATGTTTGCTAAGTTTGATATGATCCTGGATATCGGTTTGATTGGAGATGGATAAATATTATATTGAAAAAATAAAATCGAATTCCAGTCTCGATTACCACAGTTCCTGCAATTAAAAGAATTTGATTTATTTAGACCAACGCTTTGTCCCCGAATATATAATTTTGATAGTAACAAATAAACCCATTAAAAATTGAAAAAGATTCCCCAGGGTGTTAAGGTGATTCAGGCCTGAAACAGGTGAAATCTAGACTTGGCTTCCATTTAGGGCTTTAGCATTGCAGGAGGAGCTAGGCAGTGGGGATCATAACGTGGACCAGGGACTGTGAGACAGGCTAGGGTTTATTTTGTAGATGTATATTCATAAATAAGATCATTTCATTATTTGTGGAACATAATGTTAATCCAGATACTGGTATACGGGTTTCAAAGTTGTGAGCCATCAAATCTATTGGGTGAGTTTACTTTGATATAGAGGGCGCACGCATATAGCTGACGTCTTGTATTTTGCAGCTGAGAGCAACTAACGATGTTGTTTTTCTTTCGGACGGGATCAGATGAGGTCCACTGTTGACACAATACAATATCCTTCAGTAATGTAGTATATTACATTAGGATATAATTCACCCTTTTACCCAGAGGTCCATGCTGAGGCACCATTTGTGCCGGAGTGGCTATAACTAAATTCATATGGTGAATGCAAATTTTGAAAATCTAGACAAACGTAATTCAAAGGTCAGGTAGTTGTTTTGGTTTTCTGTTTTCCTTTAACATCATCATCAGGGCGTTCTACAAACGGACACGTTGTGATCCTTTACGTGGGCTTCACATAACTCACAGTGTTTGTAAAGTAATAATTCCTCATGCAAATGCATCTTTAATCCTTGACGAGCCTTACTTTTAGTGTTTCAACGCTAATTCTGGGTATGCTTTTGAAAATTTTCTTCCATATACTTCTTGGAAATGATAAACGAAAACATATCGCCTGAAATTCAACAGCAATTTTCAAAATCACATTTTTCAATTAATTGCAAAGGGATTGTCTCTCCTCATTTTTTCCATTTTAGAAATATTCCAAAGGTTATTTGAATTTGTGTGTTGATGTAATGGGAGGAATGTTCGTGATGCAACATTAACACCATTATCAGGTATACACGCTTGTGTGTCAACCGTCCAAGTCAGCGAGTCTGACCACCCGATCCCGTTATTCGCCTCCTACGACAAGCATGGGTTACTGAAGACCCAATTCTAACCGTATCGTCGGGTTGTTAGAAAGATAGGCCAATAGGCGGGTACCTAAGTAGTAAACCATAGTTCAGCACGATGGGTATGGTTGTGACTGACTGGATGGTCTGACTGATGACGTTTTGGGAGCAGTGGATTGATTTCTGCATCGTGGGGCATGATCTTCAGATAAGCCCATCACATCCGCTTATTTGTACAGTGTTGTTGTTTAGGCATAGGCACATCCGGGTACTATTTGAGACAGGTGAATGGACTCCCAGGCCCTATCCAGTAATCCGGTGTCCCCTGTCGGGTGATATTGCAGCCTTTTACAAATGGGATATTGCTAAAAGCAGCTGCAAAATCTTTAAAACCATACTCACAGGTTGGCACTCACTACACGTGTATTGCACCTTCCATCACGTCGGTGTTGAATGTCACTTTGAATGTTGGAAAACACACTCAAGCATGCATATCTTGGATATATACCCGTAAAACTACTAGTATGACGTTGACGTTCAAGTCTCCGTTCTTCAGATCCTGACGCTCGAATGGGACGCAACAGATGAACGCTGTTGCTAATAGCCAGAAAATGCATTCGTGATCTTGTCAAACTGGAAAACTTGTAAGAATAGTCTCGATCTATGTCCATGTCACTGGGCCCACACCTAAACGAGACATGCGACGGTCGTAGCGCGGAAATAGCTTTGTCTCAAACATCTTTGGTCTGTCATCAGCTTGAAAAACAATCGCCTCAATATGGCCATCTTCACAAGTAGTGGCTTTTCAATGAGAAAAGCCATCATATTTGACCCAGAGACATGGACATGAGAGATGGCATGCCTGCTACACTTACTTTTAAATTCCCATTTTAAATCTTCCACCCCAAGAGGTCATATCAATCAAGTCGCTGTGGTTTACAGTGGGACTCCACTCGCTGTGATATGGCTGAGTCAGAGACACCGTTTTTGACGGAGATTTGCAATGACCCATAGGTTTCATTTACCCTTACTATAGAACATGAATAAATATAAAATATAAACGTTTTCTTACAATAACCTGTACTGAACAGCAAAAGAAACAACCAATATTGTATGTTCCTAACAACAAAACAGGATCACTGTCAAGGTAGATGCTTTTATTGTCAAAAGTATGAACAATAATGTCGAAAGTTTCAATACAAAGTATAACATGACAATTTGGTCATATGTTTGATTTGTAGAAAATATATATAAACAGATTTTGGATTAGAAAAATATAGATGGTGGGGACAATTCTTAATGTGACAACCACTGCAAAACAAATGAGAAATTAAAAAGAAACACTTCAATTGTAACAAACAAAAATTCCGCAAACAAGTTATAAATAATAAAGGTGAAACCGCGCGTAAACCCAGTTAATCAAATCCATACCTTCCGTATAGGGCCTGTAAGTAGGTCACGGCACTTCGCGAGACCTTAGTACTTCCGGTGACAAACAACGTTTCATACCTTTTCGAATGGTCTGATGATTGTCAGTTGACAGTAAGGAGGCGATAATCCTTGCAGGAATAACAAATTTCCGACCTAACCATCCCCAAATTAGCCAACTATTACGACTGTCGACAGCTGTGACAGTCAGGCGTGGATGTACACTTGGTCCGGTCTAGTAAAGTCATATTTGGCGGTCGCGCAATTTGGAACCAGAACTGGTTCTTGAATATACGCTTGGAAGTAAGCTGGGTCCAGTCTCGAATGTCGCAAGTTGGCACGCGCAAAGGAGTCGGGAACCAGCTTAGTACCGGAAGTAGCTCACCGCGAGACTTACAGACCCTAAAACGGGGTCAACAAATAATGAGGGTGGGCAACTGTATATGAAAGTGTTCCAAAGTTAAAGTACGGAATGGCGGAGTGCAGTATAAAAGAGGTTCACACTAACGGGGTTTTACGGAACAACAAAATCATATGAATGTTAGAAGATCTGTAATATAGCAAAAATACCCATGTATACTGAATCGTGTACAATTGAGCCAAAATTTCATAATACTAATAAAAGCAATCAATACTATCTCAATTAAACAAGGATCGAATCCAAGTTCGCATGATTATGTTTCTACTTTTGTGAGCTCCATATATACCCGTTCTCGTTGGTTTCCCAGAATGGCGAATGTTGCATCACTTCGGGTTGGCACGCTGTGATATATAACGGGAATAATGTTCAAAACAGCATTGAACCCGGTTCACTCACACACTCACTTACACACTCACTCACTCCTTTACACAATAACAAATATATAACCATTGCTTCAAACAGCCTATATACACGTACGCATACTAGAAAATCCATAACAACAGTCTAAAGACAAAAGTGTAAAATCAATTGATAGTTTCTGCTGCAAAAAGATATTCGATTAAGTATAAAAATAAACTGAAAAAATCTGAGTTCCTTAATCCCAGTCGGTTTCGGGGTAACCTTTGTAGAAAATGTTGAACAGTATTCCAAACAGCACTGCGAGTCCGAACACTACAGAGGTGACGATTCCAAGCCTTGTCTCCCATGGGTGCCTCTTCATGTTCTTTAAGATTGGCACTCCGAGTAATATACCTGTGAAAATCAATCAATCAATATATTAAAGTGACAAGTTGTTTTATGTTAATCGTTCATTTAATCAATCAAGTCTGTTGAAAATAAATAAAATAGCATGATCGAACGGCATGAATTTAATTAACACTTGAATCAAATTAAACCCATTTAGCATAGAATTGGAAGCATGCACCTTTTGGGGTCTAAGACATTGTGTTCACATACCTCCCAAACATTTGTTGAAAGGTTTGAAATAAACATAATATTTACAATAGGAAAACAAAAATTTAACTTGGTCAATTGGATAAAAATAACACTGGATATGGGGAAACAAAGTATCATCAGTAAAATGTCGTAGCGCAAAGAAAACCAGGAACCAGACTACGCGAGAAGCGTGTTATTGCAGCAACGTATACATCCACTGATTTCTCGGTAGATAGTATACAAGCTGCGTGGACCTTTGGAAAATAAGGCGCATATATATATATCACCATGGTTACCTGTCGCAATACCTCCCAGATGGGCACCAACAGCGATCCTCCAGGAATCCTTTTCCATAACATGTTGATAGATGGCACGGCCTACTTCATAGAATACTAAAAAAGAAACAGTATAGTTTTGTGTTAATGTAAATAGTTTCTTTTGAACTATTATACAACACGTGCACTTAAAGATGAACTAGAATGGACGTTTTTGGTTCGCATGATATTATGTCGTTTTTGAGAGTACTAGTGGTATCAGAGTTTGACGGTATTGGAATAAATGCAATGGTACCGTTTTTGGGGAGAAAATCCACTTTCAATTGGACAGTCTTAAATATTGATCTAATGTTTTGTCAGATATCAAGTTCGACAACTCTTTTCAGCGTACCAAGAGGCAGGATGACGGCCAGGCGAAATGGACCAGTGGGCATTTTGAGTTCTTTGTCGAGGCACTCACAGTTACATCTCATTCGCATCTCTTTCCAGTTCTGAAGTAAACAATAGCATCTGCTATAGACTGATATGTTAGTGACAACGTCATTGTCGACATTATTCCAACTACGTCGTCGTGGTTTGTGAAGATTCGAGACATGGGCTAATGAAGAAATGACTAACAGCATGAGCAGCGAGCCGAGCAGCGAGCCGTCTGCGCACGAAGACAGACAGTCAGCCAGTCCCCGGCCGGGCGTTTCGTTCCTCTGATGGTCAATTGTCTTCTTCATTTTCACCCAGACGAGCACCCAGAGGAAAGGTCTGTTCTATAGGATGGTTGGTTGGTCTGTTGTTCAACACCGCACTCAGCAATATTCCAGCTATGTGACCACGATCTGTAAATAATTGGGTCTGGACCAGACATCATGAGCATTTGGGATACGATGACGCTGTTCTATAGGACTCACCGTTCATAACGACAGCTAGATGTGCCCCCAAGGGACAAAGACTGCTCTGTAGGACTCACCGTGATAACGACAGCTAGATGTTCACCCAAGGGACAAAGACTGCTCTGTAGGACTCACCGTGATAACGACAGCTAGATGTTCACCCAAGGGACAAAGACTGCTCTGTAGAACTCACCGTGATAACGACAGCTAGATGTTCACCCAAGGGACAAAGACTGCTCTGTAGGACTCACCGTGATAACGACAGCTAGATGTTCACCCAAGGGACAAAGACTGCTCTGTAGGACTCACCGTGATAATGACAGCTAGATGTTCACCCAAGGGACAAAGACTGCTCTGTAGGGACTCCATTGTGATAACGACAGCTAGATGTTCACCTAAGGGACAAAGACTGCTCTATAGGACTCACCGTGATAACGACAGCTAGATGTTCACCCAAGGGACAAAGACTGCTCTGTAGGACTCACCGTGATAACGACAGCTAGATGTTCACCCAAGGGACAAAGACTGCTCTATAGGACTCACCGTGATAACGACAGCTAGATGTTCACCCAAGGGACAAAGACTGCTCTGTAGGACTCACCGTGATAACGACAGCTAGATGTTCACCCAAGGGACAAAGACTGCTCTATAGGACTCACCGTGATAACGACAGCTAGATGTGCACCCACAAGTGTAAAGGCTCCAGCACTCGCCCCAACCAGGGCTAAGTCGTGCTCTATCACAGAATGAAGCAGGCAGCCTGAAGATAGACAAACTCAGAATCATGATGATGGTGTAACAAGGAACAGGATATATTACTTTGTATATGATGCATACACAAGATGCGATCTCGAAACAGTGATGCTAAGCACACATATACCAGTCAAACATGTTTTGATAGCTTGTTTGTTTGTTAGTTAACGTCGTACTTAGCAATATTCCAGCTCTATGGACCAGACAATCCAGTGAGCAACTTCGAGAACAAGACCTCAGTGAGTGAGTGAGTTTAGTTTAGTTTTACGCTGCACTCAGCAGTATTCCAGCTATATGGCGGCGGTCTGTAAATAATCGACTCTGGACCAGACAAGCCAGTGATCAACATCATAAGCATCGATCTACGCATGTGTCAACCAAGTCAGCGAGACTGACCACCCGATCCCGTTAGTTTAACCTTAGCGGTAGAGCAACGTAAAAGTTTAACTGACCTACTGACTGACTCACTCACTCACTCTTACGGCAAGCATGGGTTCATCTAACCATAGTTACTCTCTACCTCCCGAGGCATAACGGAATAGAAACATTAGCAATATGAAAGAATGGAGTGTTTACGGTACACGTACCATTTTAACACCGTCGCTATACCGCATCGATATACACATTTCTACACGTAACTACACGTAAATCTATACACATCACTATACACATAACTATACACATATTACCCTGCTGATTTTCGCCGCACAGGTACAATCATCACACGCCACCACTTGTGCACCATCTCCAGGGACAGCCCAATTCCCAGCTGGAATATATCAGGTTGTTCCGCTAATGTGCCACCACCTGAAAAATAAAGAGGCCAAATATTTAGGTGGTGGCATTTTAAGTTTACAACAGCAATACTCTAACGAAGTCTATTAAATAACAGAAGTATTGGCAGGGGAGATCAGCGGCTGACGGAATGAGGAGTATAACTTCTACTGGGAGAGTTACGTCCCTTAGGCGAACAAAACGTTCCGGGCCCGTTTCACAAAACTCTCGTAAGCCTAAGATGCTCGTTATCTTTTCTCGTGAAATTCAGTACCTCCTATACTGTAACATAGAAAATTACAGAATACCTCTAAAAAGACCTGAATCTTAATGCTACTTACGAGCTTTTGAAGAGGAGACTGATTAACTACTCGGATCCCAGTCGCCATGATTCGCAACACCTTTCACGTTGGTGACCAACCGCACTCATTGACTTGGTTGACACATGTCATCGTATCTCAGTTGCGCAGATCGATGCTCATGCTGTTGCTCACTGGATTGTGTGGTGAGACTCGATTGACCCCTGAACCGCTGCCACAGAGCGAGCACTTCCCTCGAGTTGGTGCCAAAGACGGATAAGTCTGCATCTCCAGTGTGCAATTTCGCTATATTTCATTGACTCATATGGCCTACAAGATGTTTCCAAAATATTACTTTGTATATGATGCATACACAAGATGCGATCTCGAAACAGTGATGCTAAGCACACATATACCAGTCAAACATGTTTTGATAGCTTGTTTGTTTGTTAGTTAACGTCGTACTTAGCAATATTCCAGCTCTATGGACCAGACAATCCAGTGAGCAACTTCGAGAACAAGACCTCAGTGAGTGAGTGAGTTTAGTTTAGTTTTACGCTGCACTCAGCAGTATTCCAGCTATATGGCGGCGGTCTGTAAATAATCGACTCTGGACCAGACAAGCCAGTGATCAACATCATAAGCATCGATCTACGCATGTGTCAACCAAGTCAGCGAGACTGACCACCCGATCCCGTTAGTTGCCTTATGATGAGGCAACGTAAAAGTTTAACTGACCTACTGACTGACTCACTCACTCACTCTTACGGCAAGCATGGGTTCATCTAACCATAGTTACTCTCTACCTCCCGAGGCATAACGGAATAGAAACATTAGCAATATGAAAGAATGGAGTGTTTACGGTACACGTACCATTTTAACACCGTCGCTATACACATCGATGTACACATTTCTACACACACGTAACTACACACGTAACTATACACATCACTATACACATAACTATACACATACCCGCTATGACGCCGCACAGGTACACAATCATCACACGCCACCACTTGTGCACCATCTCCAGGGACAGCCCAATTCCCAGCTGGAATATCAGGTTGTTCACAATGTGCCACCACCTGAAAAATAAGAGGCAAATGACTGAGTGAGTGGCATTTTAAGTTTACAACAGCAATACTCTAACGGAAGTCTATTAAATAACGAAGTATTGGCAGGGAGATCAGCGGCTGACGGAATGAGAGTATAACTACTGGGAGAGTTACGTCCCTTAGGCGAACAAAACGTTCAGGGCCCCGTTTCACAAAACTCTCGTAAGCCTAAGATCTCGTATCTTTTCTCGTAGAATTCGTACCTCCTATACTGTAACATAGGAGGTACGAATGCTACGAGAAAACTTACGAGATCTTAATTTTGCTTACGAGAGCTTTTGGAAGGGGGCCTGATTGGCTGCTCGGATCCCAGTCCGCCATGATTCACAACACCTTTCACGTTGGTGACCAACCGCACTCGCTGACTTGGTTGACACATGTCATCGTATCTCAGTTGCGCAGATCGATGCTCATGCTGTTGCTCACTGGATTGTGTGGTCCAGACTCGATTATTTACAGACCGCTGCCACAGAGCTGGAATATTGCTGAGTGCGGCGTTAAACAACAAACAAACCAAACAATGTTAGCAAATATGTACGACAATGCTTGCTTGCGTGATACAAGGCTGAAGTTTACATACCCATTGTGGATAAACATGTAGGTAATGAATCTCCAGGCCTCGTAGCGTTTGGCTGGTAGGTAGATAAGAGGGCTGTAGTGCGGGTACCCGCTGGCGAAGGTGACTGGCGTGTTGGTTTTGGCAAGTTCAGCGGCATATACCACGAATATTTTGAGCATGAGCCAGACAATTTTTCGGTACCACTCAGAGGGACCAAACACTTTTATGTTTTTTGAAGTTGTTATTGTGTCTACATATCAAAAATGTATGATGGTTATGTCGGTTTGGTAGCTCAAACACAGAACGAGGCTAAATCCAAGATGGCCGCCAAAAAACCCCAATATTTTCAAAAAAATGTCAATTCCAAGCTTTTATCAGGAGAAAAGTTCAGCAAATAGGTTGGAAATGTAAAAAAGGAGGTACAAATGCTAACATGATTAAAAGTATTAATTAATATCAAGTTTTGTTTAATTGATACCTTTAAATCATATTTTTTCCTGATTTTTAAGAGTCGAAATTGTAAGCTCAAAGAACATTTTCGAAAACTCATCATTTCATTTATTCTGAAGACAGCTCTTTAACTTCAAATAGTGAGAGCACCTTCAAGTTCCTTAAATTGGTTTGTGATAGTCACTGTTCCGCATCATAAACGTCAGCTTCATCATCAGTGTCACTCTTCGGCATGTCATGGTCCTCACATACCATGTTGTCACAAGTCTGGTTCCGACATGTCACAGTGCATTTCAGTCCATTGGTAAGGCATTGACAACTTGGCAGTTTACAGACTGTTGTGCACTTGCAAAGAATGAACTCAAGAACAGCATCTGGAGCAAGAGGTCTTGTCATCCAGCAAATCTCTATGTGATCATTTTGTTCCACCCATCCATGACCATCTGTTGCCCGTGAAGTTGGATATTCAGCTTCCAGACAGTTGTTCCATATTGCAGCTTGATAGTTTGCTCTCAGGATGTGCATAGATAGACAATCAAAGCAGGGTGGCAATTGTCCTGATTCAATTGCCCCTTTTCTCACCTTAAATAAGTGGTAGCGCAATTGATTGACAGCCCATATTTAAGAACTTGAGGCATACAGGTGGCATGTGAATGCTTGAAGTGAGTCAATCAAACCTGGTGGCACAGTCCACTCATTCCCAAGTTGTTGGAAAGCTTCTTCATATCCCTTGTTGTTGAAGAAGTTTGAATGCATTGACCTTCCCTCTGCCTCCAAAAGAACTGACAGTATAACATACAGTATGTATGCGTATAGTCCTGTCTTGCAAACACTTTCACCCAACGACGCAGCAACTTTCATGATATCAATGAACCTTTAGCAATTTTGAACATTGAACTGGATGATATTGGTTTTGCTCTTTGATAAAGTAAGAAGCCGTCTCAACTGCCGTATCTTGTGTCTTGAAGCAATGTTACTGTTACTCTGCTGACTTGATGGAGTTGTTATGGTACACTTCAAATACCACATCGATGCAGTAGCTTCCTGTTTCAAGGGGCAAAGCTAGTGCCTTTGCATGTCCAGTTTCCTGCTTTGAGCGACAAGTAACATATGGTCAAAGACCTTGTGATCTTCTTTCAGGATTGTTGCAGTATTTGACGCTTTCTTCTTCTTTTGACAGTTGACATGCGTAAATGTTTTCAACCTTAGTTTTTGAAGACAATCGTAAACTTCTTTGTCTGGCTCTCAAGTCTTTCATCAGAAAATTCAAGGTATGCCTCCTCTCCTAGCTGTTTGGCAGTGGAGACGGCGTCTTACTTCATCAGAAAGCAAAACCAATATCATCCAGTTCATTGTTCAAGACTGGCAGCTTCCTCATTCCAGGGCCAAACTTGAAGACAGAATACCGTATGTGACATGTGGAAGCAAGTGCTACAGAATGACCTCAGCTGAAGTTGAATCTTTGTCAAATACGCAAAAAGACGCAGACACGGTGTTCCATGCTAAACGTGCATCTTTGGAATCCTCATCAGTTGCCATTTCCTCAGATGACCCAGAATGTATTTGTCTTGTCCTTAGCAAAGAGCACTCACATTGCAACCAATATTTACACCAAAGCTGGTACGCCAAAGATTCATTGATATCAAGAAAGTTGCTGCAGTTTAATTTGGTCAAAGTGTTTGCAAGACCCTTCCAGGACTATACGCATATATACTGTATGTTATACTGTCAGTTCTTTTGGAGGCAGAGGGACGGACAATACATTCAAACTTCTTCAACAGCAAGGGATATCAAGAGGCTTTCCAACAACTTGGGAATGAGTGGACTGTGCCACTAGGTTTGATCAACTCACTTCAAGCACCCTGCTTTGATTGTCTATCTATGCACACCCTGAGAGCAAACTATCAAGCTCCAATATGGAACAACTGTCTGGAAGCTGAATATCCAACTTCACGGGCAACAGATGGTCATGGATGGGTGGAACAAAATGATCAGATAGAGATTTGCTGGATGACAAGACCTCTTGCTCCAAATGCTGTTCTTTGGTTCATTTTTTGCAAGTACACAACAGTCTTTAAACTGCCATGTTGTCAGTGCCTTACCAATGGACTGAAATGCACTGTGATATGTCGGAACCAGGCTTGTGACAACATGGTATGTGAGGACCATGACATGCCGAAGAGTGACACTGATCATGACTCTTGAGAATCAGGAAAAAATATGATTTAAAGTTATCAATTAAACAAAACTTGATATCAATTAATACGTTTAATCACATTAGCCATTTTACCTCCTTTTTTACATTTCCAACCTATTTCCTGAACGTTTCTCATGTTACAAGTTTGGAATTGACATCTTTTCAAAATATTGGGGTTTTTGGCGGCCATCTTAGATTTAGCCTCATTTTGAGTCTGAGCTACCAAATTGGGATGTCCATCATACTTTTTTGATATATAGAGACATAAAGGAATATAAAAAACACTAACACTTTTGGTCCCTCTGAGTGGTACCAATATGTCAACTTTCAGCCCCTGGCTCATGGCTATGCAAAGTTCTAAATTATGTTCGGGATGGTGTTTTGTAAGTAATCCATGCATATATATCACCACTCACCACTGATGTGAAATAAAGTAATTTCTTTCAGACGTTTTTAGCATTTTTGCTCAAAGTTACTTCTCCGATGTTTATCGATCATTGATCGATATTTAATTAACGATTATCGATCTGTATGATCTACATGGATAGTCAGCCCTAGTTAAGACAAACATGGAGTTTAGGTTAGCTATTCTGCCCCCGAAATGAACAAAACTGCGTGTTTCATTTTGAATGGAAGCGGAAGACGGTTGTAAATATGAAAGCTCACCTGGACGAGGCTGATTATAGGTATGAACACAGCGGGGGGCCAGCAGTTGCACTTGACCAGGTAGTCGCTCTTCTTCACCCCAAAACCCACAAACGTGATGCACGGCTGCAACATGCATCTCTTGCACTTGTGCATGTTCTCATCCGGGACCTAAACAACATAAGACGGAAAAAACTGTTAACATGCGTCCCATGTAGTGGAATAGGTGGTTGACTACTACTACTACTACTACTACTACTACTACTACTACTACTACTACTACTACTACTACTACTACTACTACTACTACTACTACTACTACTACTACAACTACTACCACTACTACTAGTTCTACTACTACTAGGTGCGGTGGGGTAACCTAGTGACAAATACGTTTGATTGTCATGCCAAAAAACAGGGGTTCGATTCCCCACATTGGTAGAATGTGTGAAGCTAATTTCTGGTGTCTCCTGCCGTGATATTGCTGGAATATTGCTAAAAGCGGCACAAAAATATACTCACTCACTGCCACTCCTCCTCTACTTACTACTACTTCTACTACTACTACTACTACTTCTACTCGCTGATCGATGCTCATGCTGTTGATCACTGGATTGTCTTGCCCAGACTCGATTATATTCAGACCGCCGTCATATAGCTGGAATATTGCTGAGTGCGGCATACAACTAAACTCACTCACTCACTCACTCACTCCTACTACTGGGGGGGTAGGGTGTCCCCCGCCATGATTTTGCTGGAATATTGCTAAAAGCGGCGTAAAACCACACTCACCCACTCACTACTACTACTACTACTACTACTACTACTTCTAATACTACTTTAATATGTAAGAAAAAAATAATTCTATTAAGAATTCGTCAGTGTAATGGGAGATTCAGACACAACATGCACCTCTACTATAACTACTAATTATTTTATTATTACTTTGGCGTTAAACTGGGTAACTACGGTACTGGTTGCCGCGACTTTTTACGGCTATCACAAACAGATATGACTCACGTCCATACAGGTGTAAGCGTTAAGATTATCTCAACACACGCATGTCATCTCTGCATTTATGTCCCAGACGGGGGCGCCCTCACAATGGCGTGGTAGGCTATCGAAACTGGCAAACTTTACAACGGTAAATGTATGCGATGACAACTTTATTCAGATCATACTGAACGCGTTTTGTTAAGATTCAAATTTGAGTTATCAGATCTATAAATATAGTTAGAGATAGTATAGTCCTTTGTTCGGTCACTGAGTGGGAGGGCATTGAAAGCGGCTTTGTCGAAAGTGGCCATGACATCAGCAGTGTTGTAGCTTCTATTCAAGCACAGGCTTTCGACCTTGACACTGGACCCTTGACACGGTATGACATATTCGGAGTGCTGTTCTCCTTGTAAACCGTCGTCATTTTTTAATATGTCGTACACAGCTCAAAAACTGTCATCAAATTCATATCTTAAACTCTACGGTGACATTCTGCATGAGGTAGACATTTGTATTAAAGTTGTATTTATTTAACTTCAATCTAAGGTCGTTGATAATTTAATTCTGTGTACCGAGGCGAGGATTTCAGCGAGGTCGAACCCCTTAGATCCGAGTTAGAATTGCTTGTCATAACTAGGGGTTCGGTTAGTCAGGATCGCTGTTTTGGTTGACAAATGTCACTGAATCCAAGTTGCGTAGATCGATGCTCTTGCTGTTGATCACTGGATTGTCTGGCCCGGACTCAATTATTTCCAGACCGCCGACATGAAACTGAGTGTAACGTGATAGGCCATTCCATGTTATTAATGTTCACACAAAACAACGGGCGCCACATCGATTCCTAACGAGGTCGTGAGGTCAGGGTTTTCTAGATCCTAGGACAAACATTTCCAATACAACCAATGCAAGTCTATAATGCGTGGCAAATCTAAATAACTGCAGTTTCAGGAAAATGAAGAAGGTCACTTGGTTCCTATTTAATTTTATTCCATCTTGTTAAAATAATTAAACAACTGATTAATTCTTTAAAACAACTGATTACCTACTCGATATTAAAGTCTATTTCTCACACATTACACAAATTTATTGACTGATTATTCAGATCTAATTATAGGCCGTTCGATACTCGGGATTTCCGATGCTATTTCCGGACATTGTCTCAGTTATCGCAGATTGTGAAACACGGGGAATCCCCTTTGAGAAAGTAGTCCCGAGTTATATTGGTTTATTCAGGTATTGATCTATAACTCTCAAATTCAATCAGAAACGCAAAAAGCGATAACTCACATACTTTGTATTCAATATATACGAATTATGGGCAAGGAATCTCCATATGTCCTTATACAGGAATCATCATGAACAGATATTTCGTTATTACGCACTTGGTTTATCAGGTATTGTGAATTGAATAGAGACATAAATAGAAGGAACGATTCTATAAGATAAGGAACTCTGAAAAATGGTATTGTTTAAGGTGTATGGGCATTGGTTTAATCTTATACAGGTTCCTGACATTACAACGAACTGAACTCATTTCCTGTTAACTGTCAAAGCGATCGATTTATGATATGGACAAGGTACACTATAGGGCAACAGCTAAACTGTCATTTTAAACATACACGCTGTGTACTACCACGTTTCCCCAAAACGACAGGAATAGGTTAAACTACCACGTTTGATCACAACTACCTTTGGCTTATTGACACATGCAAACATATTTCGAATACCACGACCGGAGTGAACGGTTGAAACTATATGCGTTATTGATCCATCAACTACCACTGAAATATTGACATAAACTTACATAATACGATCCTCCGGATTCGGCAATACCGATGTCAATTTCGTCGAGAGCATAACGATCATCTTCATAGCTGCATTTGATTCCCCAACCCATGACTGACTATCTCCGAGAGCTGGCGGGTGACTTGTGAACAGAGGCAGTCGACCCACGCTTATAAGACGACGGTATAACGAGGGAGTGTGAGTATCGTAGCGTATCAGCTAATGTGTTTGTTTGCACACGGTACCGTATTTACCGCTATAATTACTCCGAAATGCTTGAGGGTAAGGGACCGTTCATAATTAATGGCTAGTGGAGGTGTGTGTGTTGGGGGGGGTTCCACCAATTTTGTTCTGGGGAGAGATGTGTGTGTGTGTGTGGGGTGGGTGGTCATCAATTCTGTACACATCGACTTAAGGAGAGGGGGTGTCAGCATTTTTTTGTACATATTGTCGTACAATATTTTAAAATTATGCTTAAAATAATGGCGTGGGGGTTTGGGCGTAAATGCTTCTCCATAACAATGAACATACACACACACACACACACACACACACACACACACACACACACACACACACACACACACACACACACACACACACACACACACACACACACACACACGCACACACGCACACACACCCACTAGCCATAAATTATAAACTGCCCCTAATAAAACGATTTTTGCATCCAGAGTTTAAAATGTATTTGCACAACCTGACGCAGGATGAAACGCCCTTTACGTGTATATATAGAACACAGAAGACATTAAAGATCAACCCATTTACTGATGCTAATCTGTTTTAAATAACATATTCACTTTATAAACATTTAAGAATCGACGTTTCTTAAACTTTTTGTGTGTATTTACATGGGCATGAGAGACCTTACTATAACAGGGCCGCTCCACTAAATTGGGTGCTTATATAACACCTCGGGTAGCATTGGAGTGAAGATAATTCATGATTTCATTGTAAAGCGGGTATCAACAGATACCCCGTTTTACAGCCATGTACGGTACTCAATGTGGAGGACACAATATACAATACATTGTGTTATTCAATGACTAGTTCGGATTACTTGACATTCATGAAATTAGCGATGTAAGTATATACATTAAATCAACCTCACAGCCCCCTATACATTTCCCTTCCACCAGCCGTCTCTGAAAGATCAGGCCCCTATTTGTATATATATATAAGCATATTTCTTCTCCAAAAACGTTTGGGGAGAATGCTTCATACATGGACATACACAAAGGGACACCAATGTCAGTTTTGACATAATGTTCATCTCCACAGTTACATTTGACTCCCCATCCCATGACAGACTCTCGCAGTCACCCATCGTAGGACTTTTAACAATAAAACCCCGTTTAGTGGGACACGGTCAAGGTTACAGACAATACAACCACTGGAGCATTGCTTCTTGTGCCCAGACAACATCGTATTATTCTCAATAGATGCGCCCACATATACCAGGACAAAGTCTAACTAATTTATTCATTCGAAAGGAATGACTGACTACGGGTGTTCCTGCCTTTAAACGGAAAGGTATGGTACTTCCCCCCGTTATTGTTAATATGATAATGTTACACATGTATTGGACATAAAATTGATACCCTAGGGTGTGGGTTGGGACGGGATTGTGTTTTATTATCTTATACACCCCCCCACCCCGAAAGTCAAGCCAAATGCAAACAATAACAATTTCGCAGAACATTCTTTAAATATATAATTATGTTGTATATGGTTGATAACAAGATATATTATCTGTCATATTTCGTTGTTGCAGTTCTAATTTAGTTTTATAAACATACGTATATGCCTGTGGCTGAACAAAACAAACATCAAAAAGTATTTCTCACAAAGTCTACCCACGCCCACCCTACAGAGGATAGGTCTACCATTAAATGGTGGCCCTGGACAAGGGCCATATTACATGTATGTCTCTTGTAACTGGTTTCACTCACGCCTATACCGTGTTTGTATTACACGTTCAAATCTGGTTACGAGTCTCATGGTAAATAGTATTACCTTCTCCAAACACACAGATTATTTAAAGAAACAGATTGGCATGCGTCTCAATTGGTTCGCTTAATTTGCTGCCTATATAACAGGGCAGCATTGGAGTAGTGATATGTCACAACTTCACTGTAAACCGTGTCACGTCCGATCCCTCCGCATATAGTTCCTTAAAAAGGTTGACTATTTGTGAAAACGGATCTTCATTCAATATTACCACCTTCAAAGTTGGAATGTTGTTTCCCTTCAAGGAACATTTGGAATACCGTTTGAGCTGATACACAAATAATTTTAATATTTATATAAAGTTCAGGATTACCGGAAGTGTTTTGTGTCACGTGATAGTCACAAAATTCGTTCCCATTAAATAGTTTAATACTCCTAGTGCGTTCTTTAGCCGCAACCCCCACCCCCACCCCTTCACACATCCGCACGCATGCACGCACGCACGCACACGCACGCACGCACGCACGCACGCACACACACACACACACACACACACCTATCATCGTGGTACAATGATCATATTCGATGAGCACAGCACCAGCGACGAAAACTGAAGCGTCAAATGCATAGGACGGGGATGCCAAATACACCCCGAGCAACGTGACCATGTCAACGCTCTGGTTGGGCAGGCAAAGCACAGCACTTCAAAGAGGCTTTAGATGGTGCGGCTGGACAGAAGAAAGTCTTCCAAATCTCAAACCAACTTCTCTTTAAGACGAAGTGCAAAGTATACCCATAAAAAACACAAAAGAGGAACTTGTGAATAACTTTGCTGATTTCTTTTCTGAAAAGGTCATTACCATGTATTTGGATATTGAAAGTATTCGTCAGAGATCAACATTGGAATACCTGCACCATGTATACAGCTTTATTAGGGCCATTGCTCTTTACGATATACACTGCCCCCATGGGTGACTACCGGGTTAGAATGAACCTTCAGTAACCCATGCTTGTCGTAAAAGGCGAGTAACGGGATCGGGTGGTCAGGCTCGCTGATCTGGTTGACACATGTCATCGGTTCCGAGTTGCGCAGATTGATGCTCATGCTCAGCTGGTCCAGACTCGATTATTTACAGACCTCCGCCATATAGCTGGAATATTGCTGAGTGCGGCGTAAAACTAAACTCACTCACTCACACTCCCTAAGGGTGACTTAGCCAGAAAACACATACTTGCCTTGCATTTGTATGCTGATGACACCATTTGTATGCGGATGACACCATAAAACATCACCTTCAAGTCCCTCAACAATTCCTCACTCAACTGTGCCTTGTCAGCGCTGTCCAGCATCATCAGCGACATACGAACATGGATGGCTGAAAGTTATTTAAAGTTAAATGACCAAAAAACTGAACTCTTGATTGAGTGCCCAAACTCAACTGCATATATACTGAATATCCCAACCATCACCATTGGCGACAGCATCATCACTCCCAGTTCAGATGCGAGAAATCTTGGGGTTCACTTTGTCTCGACTCTCAGCCTCTATGAGCATATCAAACACGTCTACAAACGGGCCTATGTAAATATCAGGAATATTTCGCTTGTCAGAAAATATATCGGTCAGGATATTTCTGCTTCGCTTATGCAAGCCCGAGTTATCTCACAGCTTGACTACTGTGATTCTCTCCACTATGGATTACCCAAACATCAACTTGAGAGACTTCAGAGGTTACAAGACACAGCAGCCAGGGGTATTCATCGAGCTAGCAAATACGGACATGTCACTCCGCTCTTAAAGTCAATAGATTGGTTGCCCTTTGAGTGCAGAATCACTCTCAAGCTATTAACAATTGTCTACAAAGCAGTTTATCATCTTGCTCCAGCTCCAGATCTACCACTCAGCATCTGCTTAAAGTGCACCAGTCCAGAACCAAGAGTTATAGTGACAGATCTTTCGCAATTGCTGGACCATTTCTGGGGAACAATTTGCCAGAAGAGATCGGAACAAGTCAGACACTTGATGTCTTCAAATCAAAACTAAAGACTCCCTTGTTTTGTGCCCACTACAACTACGACTCATGGACAACAGCACTTTTGAGCAGCGCTACATTGGATACCATTATCATTGTTGTTTAGTGTACTGGATGAGTTCAGCTTGACTGGGAACAAGGCTGTTCTACTGAGGAATAGTTATACATCGTTGTGTCGAAGGTCGAGAAGCATATGAAGAGTCTTGTATTCGCCAGCTGGTTGATAGTATACGTACTGGGGATAATAAGTCATTTTGGAGAAAGCTTCGTAATCTAACTAATAAGGTGAATGTTGAGAGTTCAGCCACAAAGATTTGTAATGAAAGTTAGTTCGATTATTTCCAGAGGGTCTTCATTTTAACCGATTTAAGTGTAAACAGTGATTTCAATGAGCATGTAGGTTTTTTTATATAGTCATGATCTTTGTGATAGTTGATCTGATGACGATGGCAATGATACAGTATACTAAATTCTGATATTATGCAGGGAGAGATTGAAGAAGCCATAAAAGGTCTTAAGTTGGATAAATCGGCAGGTCCGGATGGTGTCTTAGCCGAGATGATTCAGGGTTGTGGCAGTCTTCTCGTTCCGTATCAACTAATTTTGTATAATAATATTCTATCTACAGGTAATTTTCCTGCTGAGTGGTGTAAAGGTTTGGTTGTTCCACTCCGTAAGAAGGGACGGTGTGATTGTGTGGATAATTATCGAGGTATATCCCTCATGGATTCGTTTGGAAAGATTATGTCTATCATTGTCAATTAACGTCTGATTTCTTTAACAGTATTCCGGAGTCACAGGTGGGATTCAGAAAGGGATATTGCACAATGGATAATGTGTTTACTTTACAATGCCTTGTGCAAAAATATCTCTCTAAAAGTGGGGGTAGATTTTTTTTCTGTTTGTATGTGGATTTCAAAAAGGCTTTCGACTCGGTTAATAGAAATTTGTTATGATTTTCAGTTATTAAAAAAAAGGGTTCATGGAATGTTGTTGCTGGTTTTACAAAATATGTATTCTAAAATAAAAACTTCTGTTAAAATATCTAGCACTTCCATAACCGAGTATTTTGATTGCTTATGTGGAGTAGGACAAGGGTGTGTCCACAGTCCATTTTTATTTTCAATGTTTATCTAAGAATTTCAATCTATGATAGATAGATTGTGGCAAAAGCCAGTATAACTCACTTATTAGTTGTAAAACAACTACAACATAATTTTACAAATATTCCAGTTCAGATGTCATTTAAACTTTTTGACTGTAAATAATAAATGATAAAACCAATATTGCTGTACGGGGCAGAGGTGTGGGGAATCCCACACCTCTGCCCCGAAACTTGTAACGCAATAATGCTTTTTATGACGTATTGTCCAATGAGGAATGTTCGTGATACACACATTAACACCATTATCAGGTATAATACCTTCGCCCACGCGTGTAAGGGCTAGAACGAAGTAACCTTAGAGATGGCCATAGTTGTGGTGTTAGGTTGGTTGGCAATAGGAGATAGGCCAATAGGCGGTACCCGTAATAAACCATAGCTCAACACGACGGGGAGGGTTGTGGCTTAGACTGACGCTTAGTCTCTGAATATATATGAGTTTTCAGAAACAGATAACTCCATTTAAATTGAAAAGGAGTCCCATTGAGATCGGAGATTCAGAATCCTGAATCTTAGGAAAATCTAGAATTGCTTTATTTAGGGCTTCCACTTTGCTGAACAGGCTGGACGGAAGGGGGAATAATGCGGTTCAGGGGAAATAATGTGGTTCAGGGGAAATAATGTGGTTCAGGGGAAATAATGTGGTTCAGGGGCTGTGAGACAGACTAGGTTGTGACTTTGTGATGGTGTAAATCAGTATCGCCTACAGCAGCTGTAGGACTGACTGGATGGTCGACTCATATTTGGCCCGTTGTCGTGATGACGTTTTGAGGTCAGTGGTTACTTTCGCACACAGGCATGATCTTCAGATATGCCCATCACACCAGTTGATTTGTACAGTGTTGTTGTTTAGGTATAGGCACTTCCCGGTACTACTTGAGACAGGTGAATGAATACCAGCCATATCCGTTCGTGACCCACTCGTGTTATTCCGTGACAAACCGAGGCGTCTTCTTGGAGGTTACGGAAAAGACCGAGTGGTGACGAATGCCGCCTTATCCAGTATCACTTTCAAATAGGTAATTCCAGTTGTTATACGTTACGGTCACGTGTTAATTAAGTTCTTCTAGCCTCGTCGCAATGCGCAAATCTGCAATCATTATGCACTTCATATGAACAAAATTCGTGCAAACTGACCTTGACCTTGAATTCAAAATCAACGCGAATCGAAGCAAAGAATTTCTGACAAAAACAGGTTTGTCAAATGCTTTTTGGGGATATTTTTTGTTACAGACAGTCGGCAATCGTTAATGAATGTGCTGGATGTAACGACGCTTTAACTTTAGCTTTACACTGTCACCGCACTCAGCAATATTCCAGCTATGGCGGCGGTCTGTAAATAATCGAGTCTGGACCAGACGGTCCAGTGATTAACAGCATGAGCATCGATCTACGCACTTGAGGTACGATGACATGTGTCAACCAAGTCAGCCAGCCTGAACACCCGGTCCTGTTAGTCGCCTCTTAAAACAGGCATGGGTTACTGAAGACTCATTCTGACCCGGATCTTCACGGGTCCGTCTGTGGCTTAATGTGGCAGTGCAGTCTCCGTTCTTCGGATCCTGACGCACCCAAGGAACGCAATTAATAGATGAGCACTGGTGCTATTGGTAAACATAAACTGCATGCGTGATCATGCCAAACGACGGATAGGAAAACGTCACTGATATCAGAGCTAGCAGAGACTTACGACAGTCGTAGAGCTGAGAAGCTTTGCGTCAAACAACTCAAGGCCGTCATGAGCTTGACCAAAACATATCCCAACTTCAATACAAGCTCTCGACCCCAATATGTCCATCCTCATCAGTAGTGGCTATTCAATGAGAAAATCCATACTATTTGACTCAGAGACATGAACATGAGAGATGGCATGCCTGTAACAATTACTTTTTAATTCCCATTTCAAATCTTCCACGCCAAGAGGTCATATGAAGCAAGTCGCTGTGGTTTGAAGTGGGACTCCACTCCTGTTGTTGTGGTTTGAAGTGGGACTCCTCTCATGTCGATGTGGTTTAAAGGGGACTCCACTCATGTCAATGTGGTTTAAAGAGGGTCTCCACTCATGTCAATGTGGTTTAAAGAGGGACTCCACTCATGTCGCTGTGGTTTAAAGAGGGACTCCACTCATGTCGCTGTGGTTTAAAGAGGGTCTCCACTCATGTCGTTGTGGTTTAAAGAGGGACTCCACTCATGTCGCTGTGGTTTAAAGTGGGACTCCACTCATGTCGCTGTGGTTTAAAGTGGGACTGAACTCCTGTTGCCGACCTTTAGGTTCGATATATATAAACGTTGTCTTACAATAACCTGAACTGAGCAGCAAAAGAAACGTTACCAACCAACATCGTATGTTCCTTAAATAAAAAACAGCATCGATGTCATAGCATATTCTTTTATTGTCAAAAGTATGAACAATAATGGCGAAAGTTTCAATACAAAGTATAACATGACAGGTTGGTCATGTGTTTGATTTGTAGAAAAAATATATAAACACAGATTTTGGATTAGAAAAATATAGATGGTGGGGACAATTCTTAATGTGACAACGTCTGCAAAACATATGAGAAATTAAAAGAAACACTTCAATTGTAACCAACAAAAATACCGCAAACAAGTAATAAATAATAACAAACAAAAGTAATGTTGAAAGTACATTTATACAGTAAAACCGCGCGTAAACCCAGTTAATCAAATCCATACCTTCGGAATGGGGTCCGTAAGTAGGTCACGGCACTTCGCGAGACCTCAGTACTTCCGGTGACAAACAACCTTTCATACCGTTTCGAATGGTCTCATGGTTGTCAGTTGACAGTATTGAACCGATAATCCTTGTAGGAATAACAAATTTCCGATCTAACCATCCCCAATAAGCCAACTATTCCCACTGTCAACAGCTGTAACAGACAAGCATTGTTGTACACTTGGTCCGGTCTAGTTTAATCATATTTGGCGGTCGCGCAGTTGGGAACCAGAACTGGTTCTTGAATATACGCTTGTCACCGGAAATCTGGTACCGGAAGTAAGCGAGGCCTCGTCTCGCATATCGCAAGATGGCACGTGCAAAGGGGTCGGAAACCAGCTTAGTACCGGAAGTAGCGCCTCGCGAGACTTACAGACCCTAAAACGAGGTTAACAGATAATGATGGTGGGTAAGTGTGTTTATGAAAGTGTTCCAAAGTTATAGTACGGAATGGCGAAGTTCCGTATAAAAGGGGTTCATACTAACGGGGTTTTACGGTACAACAAATCATATGAATGTTAGATCTGTAATATAGCATAAATACCCATGTATACTGAATCGTGTACAGTTGAGCAAGAGTGGCAATATACTAATAAAATCAATCAATACTATCTCAATCAAACAAGGATCGATTCCAAGTCCACATGATTATGTTTCTAGTTTTAAGCACTTCGGGCTGGCACACTGTGATGTAACGGGAAAAAAGTTCAGAGCAGCATTGCACCCAGTTCACTCACTCACTCATTCACAAGATAACAAATATATAACCATTGCTTCAAATAGCCTATATACATACTAGAAATCCATAACAACAGTCTAAAGACAAAAATGTATAATCAATTGATAGTTTCTGCTGTAAAATGATATTGGATTAAGTATAAAAATATACTGAAAAATCTGAGTTCAGGTTCCTTAATCCCAGTCGGTTTCGGGGTAACCTTTGTAGAAAATGTTGAACAGTATTCCAAACAGCACCGCGAGTCCGAACACTACAGAGGTGACGATTCCAAGCCTTGTCTCCCATGGGTGCCTCTTCATGTTCTTTAAGATTGGCACTCCGAGTAATATACCTGTGAAAATCAATCAATCAATCAGTCAATCAAATCGATAAATTAAAATGACCCAAGGGACAACTCGTGTTGTGTTAATCGTTCGTTTAATCAATCAAGTTTATTGAAAATAAAATAGGATGATCGAACGTCATAAATTTAATTAACACTTGAATCAAATTTAACCCATTTAGCATAGAATTGGAAGCATGCACCTTTTGGGGTCTAAGACATTGTGTTCACATACCTCCCAAACATATGTTGAAAGGTTTGAAATAAACATAATATTCACCTACCTCCCAAACATCTCTTTAGGATTTGTCGGAAGGTTAGAAATGAACATAATATTTATAATATGAAAACAAAAATCAAACTTGCTCAATTGGATAAAAACACACCGAATATGGGGAAACAAAGTATCATCAGTAAAATTTCGTAGCGCATGAAAACCAGGAACCAGACTACGCGAGAAGCGTGTTATTGCAGCAACGTTTACATACACTGATTTCTCGGCAGATAGTATAAGCTGTGTGGACTTTGGGCAAATAAATATACGGTTATTTCATAAGGCGCATCAATAAATGAAACAGTATATCTATATATCACCATGGTTACCTGTCGCAATACCTCCCAGATGGGCACCAACAGCGATCTTAAAGGAATCATTATCCACAACATGTTCATAGATGGCACGGACTACTTCATAGAATACTGGAAAAGAAACAGTATAGCTTTGTGTTAATGTAAACAGTTTCTTTTGAACTATTATACAACATGTGCACTTAAAGATGAGCTAGAATGGACGTTTTATCAAAGTCTGGCGGTATTGGAATACATGCAATGGTACCGTTTTGGGGAGAAAATCCACTTTTAACTGAACTGTTTTGTACCGTCTTCAGTCTAAGTCTTCAGCATTTATCTAATGTTTTGTCAGATATCAAGTCCGATAACTCTTTTCAACGTACCTAGAGGCAGGATGACGGCCAGGCGAAATGGACCAGTGGGCATTTTGAGTTCTTTGCCGAGGCACTCACAGTTACATCTCATTCGCATCTCTTTCCAGTTCTGAAGTAAACAATAGCATCAGCTAGACTGGGATATGAGTGAAAACGCTATTGTCGACATTACTCCAACTACGTCGTCGTGGTTTGTGAAGATTCGAGACATGGACTAACGAACAACAGCATGAGCAGCGAGCCGTCTGCGCACGAAGACATGCAATCAGGCAGTCCCGTCCCAATCAGACAGTTCGTTCTACTGAAGTCGGCTCTTGAGACGAGCGCGACATCTTCCCGGGGCAAAGGAGTTAGCTGACAGTAAAATCCCGTATCCGCCCAGGCCGAGTTATATGCTAGGATATCGTGGTTCTATCGTAGCGCCACTAGTGGCTATTATGGGTTATGTCCCTTCCATGTTCCTCCAACTGACCAATCAGATTCTACCTTTCATATCAGTTTCATTTGCTTCAAATAAAATGACGGCGCCTAGTCGTGACATCTGGTAGATAATTAAGGACCTAATTGTACTACAGCGGGTCGATATGCATCAGATCACTCGAGAGTCTTGATTAAAAACATGAGAAGATTTGGGATATACCAATCGACACGATGTTAACGGTACACATACACTGTAAATCCTGCAACCCACTGAAATCTCCACATAGCGCTAAGATAGTCAGTTAATGTTAATGAATGGCACTTACAACTGTCTAAGCACTAAGAGAGCTTCGAAAATCTAGGCCCTGGAGTTTATGACCCGGATGTCAATTTCGTTACATGATTTTGATCATTCGTCACCACTCGCCCCTTTCCGTAACCTCCGTTGTTCGGCTTGTCTCGGTATAACAGGAGTTGGTCACGAATGGAGTTTGATGGTACTGCACACACTCGTTAGTACAGTCAAAACATAACTTCATAGTTCTAGTCAAGATCGGCAAGGTTCGAAACCAGCTACGTGAACGACCTTGAGTGACCTAGCTATTTCAGGAAGGTGAACAAAATGACTGACATCCATACGTTCATAGCCACAGCGATTATGTTAAATCGAAAAACATGCGACTGCTTCTCAAAGGGAATATTCCTGTGACTTCTCCCAGAGAGGAGGATCGGTTTATCGGACATCGTTAAAACCAGAGGGTCAATGTGTCTGACCTCTTCGAGAAAAGTAGGTCAGCTGTCTCTTTCAGGAAGGAAATCTCTTTCATCTTTTCAACAGGGAATTGAGCACCCAAGGGACAAGGTCTGTTCTATAGGACTCACCGTGATAACGGCAGCTAGATGTGCACCCAAGGGACAAGGACTGTTCTATAGGACTCACCGTGATAACGACAGCTAGATGTGCACCCAAGGGACAAGGACTGCTCTATAGGACTCACCGTGATAACGACAGCTAGATGTTCACCCAAGGGACAAGGACTGCTCTATAGGACTCACCGTGATAACGACAGCTAGATGTTCACCCAAGGGACAAAGACTGCTCTATAGGACTCACCGTGGTAACGACATCTAGATGTTCACCCAAGGGACAAGGACTGTCTCTATAGGACTCACCGTGATAACGACAGCTAGATGTTCACCCAAGGGACAAGTCTGTTCTGCTCTATAGGATGTTCACAAGGACAAAGACTGCTCTATAGGACTCACCGTGGTAACGACATCTAGACGTTCACCCAAGGGACAAGGACTGCTCTATAGGACTCACCGTGATAACGACAGCTAGATGTTCACCCAAGGGACAAGGTCTGTTCTATAGGACTCACCGTGATAACGACAGCTAGATGTTCACCCAAGGGACAAGGACTGCTCTATAGGACTCACCGTGATAACGACAGCTAGATGTTCACCCAAGGGACAAGGACTGTTCTATAGGACTCACCGTGATAACGACAGCTAGATGTTCACCCAAGGGACAAGGTCTGCTCTATAGGACTCACCGTGATAACGACAGCTAGATGTTCACCCAAGGGACAAGTACTGCTCTATAGGACTCACCGTGATAACGACAGCTAGATGTGCACCCACAAGTGCAAAGGCTCCAGCACTCGCCCCTACCAGGGCTAAGTCGTGCTCTATCACAGAATGAACCAGGCAGCCTGAGGATAAACAACATCGGAATCATGATGGCGTAGCAAGGAGCATCATATATTACTTCGTATATGACGCATACACAAAATGAAATTTCGAAACAGTTTTGATAATCACACATATACCAGTCAAACAAGTTTTGATAAACACACATATACCAGTCAAACAAGTTTTGATAAACACACATATACCAGTCAAACAAGTTTTGATAAACACACATATACCAGTCAAACAAGTTTTGTTGGTTTGGGTTTTGTTTAATATTGTTTAACACCGTACTATGCAATATTCCAGCTATATATGGCGGCGGTCTGTAAATAATCGAGTCTGGACCAGACAATCCAGTGATCAACATCATGAGCATCCATCTCCCCAACTGGGATACGATGACATATGTCAAACCAGTCAGTGAGTCTGACCACCCGATCCCGTTAGTCGCCCCTTACGAGCCAGGTCCCTTATTCTCAAAACGTTCGTAGCTCTATGAATTCTTAACTTTGATCGTAGCCAATGTGTTAAGAATGGGCTTAAAGTTCGTAGGGCTACGAACGTTTGGAGAATTGCTAGCCTGATCCCGTTAGTCACCCCTTAAGAGCCAGATCCCGTTAGTCGCCTCTTACGAGCCAGATCCCGTGAGTCGCCTCTTAGGATCCAAATGCCGTTAGTCACCCCTTACGAGCCAGATCCCGTTAGTCGCCTCTTAAGTCTGCAATAATGCCGAGGCGACGTAAAATTCACTCACTCTTAGGACAAGCATTCGTTCATATAACGATATAGTTAATCTCTACCTTCCATGGCGTGACGGAATAACCATGTTCGTAATATGAAAAATCTAGTGTTTACGATACATATACCATTTTAACATCGTCGCTATATACAGCTATGCACATCGATATACACATTACTATACACATACCCGCTATGACGCCGCACAGGTACACAATCATCACACGCCACCACTTGTGCACCATCTCCAGGGACAGCCCAATTCCCAGCTGGAATATCAGGTTGTTCACAATGTGCCACCACCTGAAAATTAAGAGGCAAATGACTGAGTGAGTGGCATTTTACGCTTGCAACAACAATACTCTAATTACACCACGGCAGTCTATTAACTATGAAGTCTTAGCAGGAGAGAGGAGTTACGTCCCTTGGACGAACAAAACGTTCTGATTGGCTGTTCGGATCCCAGTCCGTCTTGTTGGCATCTCCAAAGTCGTAGATATTTAAGAAATACAGTACGCTCTACCACCATGTATAATGTAATAAAACACACTTTCGCTCGCTATACATGGTGGTAGAGCGACCTGTATTTCTTTTCTAAGATGCCAAATTTGATACTTACCGACAATACATCTAAGGCAGAAATAAACCGAAAAGCGACGGGGGACCTAAATTAATAATCCTCGCTCAGGGCCATCTGACGCGTTTGCCCCACTTCGTTAGGAGCACGTTACCAGAAAACAAATGATGAACAGTTTGATGACGGTTTACGTTAAATATCTTCTCTAAATTATTTTAATTACATCTGTGATTAACGTAAACCATATGGGGCAATATGAACGTCGCAAATTCCACTACCAATGTTAGTTTAGATCAGTACATCCAGATGAAGCTGACTTGTCACGCGACATTCCACGGATGCATTGTGGGAATGTAAACATAGCGCACGTTGCCGTGTCGCTGTTTAATTGTGAGTCGAACTGAGACATTATATCCGTCGAAAAATATAAACGTAATGTTTCCACCAGTGATGTTAGCCGCGTGAAGCAACTGCAAACCAAGAAACGGGGTGCTATGGAGAAGTTTACAGTAGGAGGCTGTACGAGGCGATGACAAATGACATGCATCTTGACGTCGGTTACCAAGTGTACGTTTCATTACGAGGGGGCAGACGAGAATGGCGAAGTGACGTCAATATAGTATGACGTAATGCAAATTGTGTACATTGGTTTAAGCATATTTTATTGTCCAAAAGACAATGGGATTAGGCACAAGTGCATCACTTATGGTCGTCTTCTCCCTAAATACAGTTGAATATGTTATGACAATGGGAATGTACAATTTACATTGGAAGCTTGACACTGGGGAAACATATACAGTGTTTACAGGATATATACAATGTGCTGGAAAGTGAAAAATGTGCATCTCATACATTTGCAGTATTATATAGTATACATAATGTGTACATTATCGTCTGATAAAGTACTGTCGGCGCCTTTGATCTTTCACCGAAGCATCTTAGACAGATAGATACTGTGCACAGCGAGGCTAAACCATCTGTCTCACTAACTCAGTGATAGCAACGATTGTGAAAATAATGATAATAATGCTAAGTTTTGCGCCTAGAATCGAACACGACGCTGGTCTCAGGCGTTACATTATTACCCTGACGGAATTGTACTTTCAAAGCCACTACTTAGCCCTTCGCGTGACCGTATAGGTCCGTACATCCGCTTCCCAGGTACCCATTTTGAACAGCTGGGTAGACTGGGTGCAATGTGGACGAAGGGCCTTGCCCAGGTACACAACACAGTATGAGACCCAGGTCACACATTTTGGTGTCTCCACCGGGATTCGAACCCGGGCCTTTGGCGTGAGAGGCCAGCATGCTAACCACTACACCACTGTGCTAATCCGGGTTAGAATTGATCTTCAGCAGCCCATGCTTGTCGTAAGAGGCGACAAACGGGATCGGGTGGTCAGGCTCGCTGACTTGGTTGACACATGACATCATATCCCAGTTGCAGAGGACGATGCTCATGTTGTTGATCAGAGGATCGCCTGGTCAAGACTCGACTATTTACAGACAGCTGACACAGAGCTGGAATATTGCTGTGTGCTGCGTTAAACAACAACCAAAACCATTTTAGCAAATGTGTAGCTCTACAACAATGCTTGCTTGCGTGTAACAAAAGCAGTAGATTAGTTTACATACCCATTGTGGATAAACATGTAGGTAATGAATCTCCAGGCCTCGTGGCGTTTGGTAGGTAGGTAGACAAGAGGGCTGTAGTGCGGGTACCCGCTGGCGAAGGTGACTGGCGTGTTGGTTTTGGCAAGTTCAGCGGCATATACCACGAATATTACTATCTGTTGAGGAGGAAACAGGCAATAGAATTCATGCGTGCACAGAAACTAGTGTGGGTTATAGGCAATGTGTGTATGAGGCGCAAAAACTGTTTCCGGATAGGCTGTCCGTCGTAATGGATACTAGTCACCATAGATCAGTCAGTAGCAAATATCTATGTAAAAGTATTTAATTTTGTCCGTTCCGGAACTGAATTTTTTAGTGCTTGGGCAAATTGCGAAGAAGCAGTTGTGATGTTACGCACGCCTTATAAAGATCGTAAAATCAATGTTGAGTCTGTAACGGAAACACCTAATTCACAAGTATCAATATAGCGTTAAGACTAGTGCTGGCTAAAATGATCGATAATAGGAATCATTTATTAACGATTATCATGTGAAAATTGTGTTAACGATAATATCGTACATTAACTTGTGTGATAGAAAATGTTTTAATTTGTTATCATAATAATGAAGATGGAAATATTATCGAGTAAAACAGATTTCATCTTTGTTGATCAATCTATACTTATACTATCAATTGCGCATGCGAGTGGCGCAGCAGAGGTCACGAACCAGTCAAGAATTCTGGGATATCATCCGGGTACTCACGGGAGAAAAACAACAAAGGCAACAACCAGTCCACGGAAATTGCTCTGGATCAGTGCCCCTTAATTTACTATTAGGATATGCAAAGTTCTGTCTTTATTCATGGGCTGCTTCTAAATGATGTTCAGGACGCTGCCTTGTAAGTGACCCATGTATTAACATGTCACCACTCACCAGCGATGTGAAATATATTCATTTCTTTCACACGTTTTTGGCATTTATGCTCAAAGTTATATTTCTCCCATGTTTATCGATAATCGATCGATATTTAATTAACGATTATCGATCTCGACGATCTATTTGGAAATCCACCTCTAGACAGGCATGGAGTTTAGGTTAGCTACTCTGCCTCCGTATTGAAGAAAACTGCGGGTTTCATTTTGAATGGAAGCGGAAGACGGTTGTAAATATGAAAGCTCACCTGGCCGAGGCTGATTATAGGCATGAACACAGCGGGGGGCCAGCAGTTGCACTTGACCAGGTAGTCGCTCTTCTTCACCCCAAAACCCACAAACGTGATGCACGGCTGCAACATGCATCTCTTGCACTTGTGCATGTTCTCATCCGGGACCTGGGCATGTATACCATAAGATGATAAGATGAAAAAACGTCTCATCTAGTGGAATAGGCGGTTGACTACTACTACTACTACTACTACTACTACTACTACTACTACTACTACTACTACTAATGCTACTGTATTATGTAAGAACCAAATAATTGATGGAGATCATGTACAATGTGAATGACCCCCCTAAAATTAATGTACAAACTAAGTATGTCATGTACAAAATCAATGACCCCCTCCCCTTCCCATGACTTTTAAGAATTGAAGACCCCTACCACCCCACAACAAAATGGATGACACCCCCCTCACACACACACACACACACACACACACACACACACACACACACACACACACACACACACACACACACACACACACACACACACAAACACACACAAAAAAAATTATGAACCTTTTCCTATTACACTGATAAAGAACTATGATCGTATTCATATCTTAAACTCCGATTCGATACGATGATATTATGTACAAGACAGACATTTGTAATGGAGTGTTTCGACACGGGGTAATTTGTAAAAGGTTTTAATTGCACCGACCGCCTCCGTGGTGTAGTGGTTAGAGCGTCCGCCCGGAGAGCGGAAGGTCGCGGGTTCGACCCCCAACCGCGTCATACCAAAAAGACGTTAAAATATGGTACTTGTTGGTCCCTGCCTGGCGCTCGGCATTAATGGGTACAACAAGGACTGGTCGGCTCGGAGTCAGTATAATGTGTCTGAGTGGGGTATTCATGCTTCACTGCGGCATGGTATCTCAGTGGGCTAGCACTATAAAACCAGCTTAAGTCTGGGCTAGTACAAGCAGCCGCATGCACGTCGTCATATGAGCGAAATATTCTCCAGCACGACGTTACACCCAATTTCACCTCACCTTTAATTGCACCGTGAGCAAAGTAATTGTTAACTTCAAAGTCGTTGATAATTTCTGTGTACCAAGGCGCGGATTTCAACGAGGTCGAACTCGTGAGATCCGGGTTGGAATTGGTCTTCATTTAATAATAACACAACAAAGCGACCACAATCGCTCAGCGCTTAGCAGCTGATATTAGATTTGTTTACATATACCAAACGCCCGTGAAGATGCTGCTTAGAATTGGTCTCCAGCAACCGACGCTGGTCATAACGCGACTAACGGGATCGGTTGGCCAAGCTCGCTGTTTTGGTTGACAAATGTCATTGTATCCCAGCTGCTCATGCTGTTGATCACTGGATTGTCTAGCCCAGTCCCGATTATTTACAGACTGACGCCGTACAGCTGAGTGTTGCGTGATAGGCGATTCCATTTTATCAATGTTCACACAAAATAACGGACGCCACATCGATTCCTAACGAGGTCGTGAGGTCAAAGTTTTCTAGATTTTTCTGTAAAACATGTTGATTTCACACACTCGATATTTAAGTCTATTTCACACACATTACACATTTTTGTTATTTATTATTCAGATCTAATTATAGGCCGTTCGATACTTGGGAGTTTCCGATACTATTTTTGGACATTGTCTCAGCTATCGCAGATTGTGACACACGGGGAATCCCCTTTGAGAAAAGTAGGCCCTCGAGTCGTGTTTTTTCTGGTATATAACTATAACTCTCAAATTCAATCAGAAACTCAAAAAGGAATAACCCACATACTTTGTATTCATATGTATATGAATTATGGGCAAGGAATCTCCACATGTCCTTATACAGGAATCAACATGAACAGATATTTCGTTACTACGCACTTGGTTTACAAGGTATTGTGAATTGAATAGAGACATAAATAGAAGGAACGATTCTGTAAGATAAGGAACTCTGAAAAATGGTATTGTTTAAGGTGTATGGGCATTGGTTTAATCTTATACAGGTTCCTGGCAACACAATGATAAGGTCTACAACGAAATGAACCCATTTCCTGGTTAAAGGGAAAGCGATTGATTTATGACATGGACAAGATAGTGTGGGGCAACAGGTAAACTGTCACTTGAAAAACCACGCAGGTAATACCACGTCTCCTATGGACGACAGGTATAGGTTAAACTTGCGTGCTTGATCACAACTACTTTTGGCTTATTGACATACATATTTCGAATACCACGATCGGAGTGAACGCTTGAGACTATTTGTGTTATTGATCCATCAGCTACCACTGAAATATTGACATAAACTTACATAATACGATCCTCCGGATTCGGCGATACCGATGTCAATTTGGTCTGTCCCATCACGATCATCTTCATACTTGCATTTGATTCCCCAACCCATGACTGACTATCTCCGAGAGCTGGCGGGTGACTTGTGAACAGAGGCAGTCGACCCACGCTTGTAAGACGACGGTATAACGAGGGAGTGTGAGTATCGCAGCGTATCAGCTGATGTGTTTGTGCCGTATTTACCGCAATAATTACTTCGAAATGCTTGGGGGTAATGAGATAGGATTTGCACAACCGGTCGAGGGATGAATCGCCATTTACGTGTTAGTTTATTTTGCCAGGAGTGAGTGAGTGAGTTTAGTTTTACGCCGCACTCAGCAATATTCCAGCTATATAGCGGCGGTCTGTAAATAATCGAGTCTGGGCCAGACAATCCAGTGATCAACAGCATGAGCATCGATCTACACAATTGGGAACCGATGACATGTGCCAACCAAGCCAGCGAGCCTGACCAACCGATCCCGTTAGGCGCCTCTTACGACAAGCATGGGTTACTGAAGGTACATTCTAACTCGGACCTTCACAGGGAACCTGTGTGATATTTACGTGTATATATTTAACAGGGATGAATCGCCCTTTACGTACGTGTGTGTGTGTGTGTGTGTGTGTGTGTGTGTGTGTGTGTGTGTGTGTGTGTGTGTGTGTGTGTGTTACTCAAAAGACGAGACAGAACAACCTATTTACTGATGCTAATCTGTTTAACATTGCATATTTACGTATAAACATTTAAGAATCGGTGTTTTTCATAATTCCGTTGTGTCTTGATAGATAAAATAAGATAAGAACATATATTACTTACGTATCACGCGGTATACATACAAACATATAATCACAGTGACAAGACAATATAAAATACTCTATAATGTTGGCCTATGAGACACGAGGTATCTGGGAACTCGTAGCAGTAGGATAATGGTATAAAGGCACCGACCAGTAATATAAAGATCAACAGTATGTAAGAGTGAATACACTATGCCATTTAGAAAGGTGGTATCGTTATGATTAATCAGAGACCATGATATTGTCTCTGGTTTAATACAAACCGATTAGTTTATTTTGAACAAGTATGGTACATGAAGTTTATGTCGAAGGTTGTTAAAACTTTATTCCTTTGCAGCTTTACTGTGTTTTACTTCTCCTTCGGTGTGGCTAAGAGCCTAAACTAAACATTAAATGAAACATACGGACACTGGTGGTCATATGGTCTCAACTGAGGCGGGTATGAACAGACACCCCGCTATACAGCTGTTAGCTGTACAATATACAGCTGTTAGCTGTACAATACACAAGATGTGGGACAAAATATACAATACATTGTGTTCGGTGAAAGATCAAAGGCGCCGACAGTGCTTTATCAGACACATTTTTACACCTTTTGCATTACGTCACAATGTATTGGCATCACTGCGCCATTCTAGTCTGCCCCCTCGTAATCGAACGTTCACCAGGTAACCGCCGTCACGATGCATGTCATTTGTCATCGCCTCGTACAGCCTCCTACAGTAAACTACTCCATAGCACCTAGTTTCTTGGTCTGCAGTTGCTTCACTCGGCTAACATCACTGGTGGAACCATTACGTTCATATTTTTCGACTGATATAATGTCTCAGTTCGACTCACAATTGAACAGCGACACGGCAACGTTAGCACTGTTTACATTCCCAAATTGCCTCCGTGGAATGTCGCGTGACAGCTTCATCTGGATGTACTGATCTAAACTTACGTTGGTAGCAGAAATGCGACGTTCATATTGTCCCATATGGTTAACGTTAATCACAGGTGCAATTAAAATAATTTAGAGAAGACATTTAACGTAAACCGTCATCTAACTGTTCATCATTTGTTTTCTGGGAACGTATACCTAACGTAGGGGGCCAGACACGTCAGTTAGCCCTGAAGGAGGATTGTTAATTTAGGTCACCGACACCGTCGCTTTTCTGTTTGTTCTCTGCCTTATATTTATTTAAGTATTCAATTTGGCATCTTAGCAAAGAAATACAGGTCGCTCTACCACCATGTATATTGTAAATGAAAATTTAACTATAATAGTTCAGGGCGAAAGTAGTTGATTATACTATACATGGTGGTAGCGAACTGTCTTAATTATTCAATGACAAATTCGCCATACTTGACGTTGATGAACTCAGCCATGTAAATATACAACACCGATTAAATCAACCTCGTCTGTCTCACAGCTCCTGAGTCATATCACTTTACCTTCTACCAGTCCTCTGTAGAAAATTCAGGCCCCTATTTGTAATATAAACATATTCTTTTTCTTATTCATATTTCATAACATATTTCTTCTGCAAGAACGTTTGGGGAGAATGCTCCATACATGGACACATACCTCGTATGAATGGCACACCCATGTCAGCTTTGACATAATGACATAATGTTCGTCTTCATAGCTACAATTGATTCCCCATCCCATCACCCATCGTAGCACTTTTGACAATAAAACCCCGTTTAGTGGTACAAGGTCAAGGTTACTGACAATACAACCACTGGAGCATTGCATTTTGTGCCCAGACAACATCGTATTATTCTCAATAGATGCGCCCACATATACCAGGACAAATTCTTACTAAGTTATTTATTCGAAAGGAATGACTGACTACGGGTGTTCCTCCCTCAAGTGGAAAAGAGGGGTCTTATTTTTACGTTATTACTATTATGATAATACTAAACATTGAGGGGACCTAAAATTGATATCCTAGGGTGTGGGTTGAGGGGATTAGGGTTTGTTATCTTATACCTCCCCGAACCCCCCTCCCCTCAAAAATAAATACAACAACAGCCAAATAATAACCAAACAAAAGCAATATCACACAACATTCCCTTAAATATAGAATTATGCTGTATATGGTTTATAATAAAATACATCATCTCCCACATTACGTCATTGCAGTTCTAATATACATATATATGCCTGAGGCTGAAAAACCCATCCAAAATATTTCAGACAAAGTCTACCCCCCCCCACCCAACAGGGAATATAATTAAATAGTGGTCCTGGACAAAGGCCATATTACATGCATGTCTCTTGTAACTGGTTTCACTCACGCCTATAGCGTGTTTGTATTACACGTTCAAATCTGGTTACGAGTCTCATGGTAAATAGTATTTTGTTGTCCTAACATACAGATCAGTTAAAGAAACATAATGGCATCCGTAGCTAAAAGGTTTCAATCGGTTCCGCTTCACTTAATTTGCTGCCTATATAACAGGGCAGCATTTCAGTGTAAACTGTGCACGCCAGATCCCTCCGCATATAGTTCCTTAAAAAGTTTTACTGTTTGTAAAAACAGATTATAATAGTTTCACCTTCAAAGCCGAATTGTTGTTTCCCCTAAAGGAAAACTTAGAATAAATTTTGAGCTAATGTACAAACAATCTGACCCTTTACATCAGGTTCATGAATGCCGGATGTCTTGTGTCACGTGATTGTCACAAAATTCGTTCCTATATCAGTGTATGAAATAAGGCCCGGTCGACGTCAGCTTAGTCTCTGAATATATATGATTTTCATAGTAATAAACAAACCCATTTACATTGAAAAGGAGCCCCAGGGAGCCCAGAGATTCCTGAACCTGAGGAAATCAAGACTTGCTTCATTTAGGGCTTTAGCATTGTAACGAAGACTAGGCAACAGGGGAAATATTGTGGTTCAGTGACTGTGAGACAGGCTAGACGTCAGAAGGTATCAGATAGGTTTCTCCAAGAACTGTGACGATCGTGATATATATAGTCATAGCAAGTATTAACCTGTTTTCCTGTAACAGTGTCACGCACGGTGCTGGGGGCGGGGACGTCAGCTGGGGTAGCAGTGTTGTATTAACACACGACAACGATCGCAAACAAAGTTAGTAACTGGCCTGTTCCCATTTCGCCTACACCCTTATCAAAACAAATTTACACTTGAGTGAAGATAGGATTTGTATGCTGTTCACTGTAGTTTAATGGACTAACCCAAACAATGAGAAACAAACTTGTGAGTCGGGTTGAGTTGGTTTTGACCATTATAATAGTATATATATATATATATATATATATATATATATATATATATATATATATACTATTAAAATGGTCAATATATATATATATATATATAATAATATTCAAGTTTATGATTATATTATTTGATCTATGAACATATCAAGTTATATCAAATCACATAAGCACAAATATATCAAGTTATATATCAAGTCATTGAAGATATCAAGTTCATATCATTGTTCTCAACGAATCTAATGCATTTGCAGTTTAATTAAATGTCCAGCTAAGTCCAGAAACTGCAGCACTGTCATTCTTCCAGTTGCTAACTGGTCCTTCAAGCGAGTCAGTCTAGCGTCCAGTTCCTTGTACTTGCGAGGACGTGAGCGGACTCCAGCACCATGGTCTATCTGCAAGCGAAGTCGTCGGTCAGCTGACTCAATCTTCTTGATTTCCTTGACAAATTCATAGAGGTTAGGATGGGACTTCTTCAACCTCTTCTTTAGTCCCAGATCGAAGCCTTCCAAGTGGTTGTTAGTTCTCGGGCCAATAGTTTCATGTTGGTTCCATATCTCTCTTGGAAAGCGTGCGTCGTAGTCCACCCAGTTGGCCGTGACGTAGTCATTGAATCGCTGGATGGATGGAGTGTTGGGTCCTGCATCCATTACAGCCATCCAGGCATCGTGGATTTCACCAATAGGCAGCAGGGGCAAGGCACCAACTCTGTTCACATTTGAGTGGACTGGTAGGTTCTGGTCCTTGTAATCGAGAGCCAGGCCATAGTCAACAACGTGACGCCAAAGGTCCAGACAGTAATGGAAGTAGCATCCACGGGGTGACTACTCAGGGAACACTTCTGCAATGGCACTAATGACGGCAGCTTCAAAATCAGTCTGGGTTACTTCTGGCGATTGTACCGTACCGGTAACGATCTCAGTGGTGTTCTTCAACAGAGTAAAAAGTCTCACTTAAGTCTGTTTGGTTTTATTTGGCAGCAAAGAAAATGCAACAGGGTACAATTTCTCGTCCACCATACAATGCACAATGTAAACCTGCGCCCACAAACTGGGACATGTGAAGAAAGTACCATCCATGTACAGGGTCTCTGCCTCACTCAGAAAACTAGCATATCAGTTGTAGCAAATACGAGCAGCTTGTCGTCAACACCGTCGTCGATGCACAGGAACTGGTCGCCATTTAGGGTCTGAGTCCAAGGTTCTTGCAGATCAACCTCAGCTCGAGAGTGGGGAAGAGGTGGAATACACTTGCTTAGCTGTCGATACAGTCCGGACTTCAAGCTGTTGAAGGATGGCATGGTTGCTGCGTTCACGTCTTCAGCTGCATTCAGCTCATCATCGTAGATCTGCTGAACTGGAGTGATGTCGGTCTGCACACGTTCACGGAGTCGGCTTAGAAGACGCGTATGATCTTCATTCTCTCTGGGATGGCAGTGGTCAGATGCAATGGTGATGTGGTCCCCTATGGTACTGCAACGTGCCTTGCATCCTGTCTGAACACACTTCCAATGTGTTTCCACCTGACGTTTCACATTCAGTCGATAGCGATATCCATCATATAGAACTTGCTTCCCGCCTCTCTGTGTCATAATAAATTCAACTCTCTGAAGAAATTTGTTCGCCATTTTGACATCACAAACAACATTTCACATCCCTTATATAATAATAATAAATAATAAGAGTACTTTTATAGCGCTTGTCTACTGTATACTAAATTTATATACCGTACATTGAAACAACAGTACACGGAGAAGAGAACATAACAAAATTGCACATTGAGCAGGAAGCCTGAGAGTAGCCACTTTATTAAAACATCATATCTTATCAACATAGATAGAAAGTGACTTTGATCTCAAACCTATTACAGGGCGGTGGGACAGCCTAGGGGTTAAAGCGTTGGCTCGTCACGCCGAAGACCCGGGTTCGAATCCCCACATAGGTACAATGTGTGAAGCCCATTTCTGGTGTCCCCCGCCGTGATGTTGCTGGAATATTGCTAAAAGCGGCGTAAAACCAAACTCAGTCAGTCAGTCAGTCAAACCTATTACAGTAATTTGCATTATTAAGCAACAAACCACTTTAATTAATAAAGTAACAAAACAAAACAGTAAACACATTCTTTTGACGACACTGAGCAGGAAATGTGGGCCATCCCATTCACTGAATGAGGGGTGGATGAGTTGCCATCCTTAATTGGTGTAGGCGAAATGGGATGTAGGCGAAATGGGAACATCTCTTCAAGCCAGTTTCCGTGTCAAACCGTTGCAACAGTTGTCATAAACGTTTCTGATGTTAGCGAACTGACTAAATTTTAGGTAGCATAATTGCAAGCACGGAGAAAGGACAAAGCGTCTCATCTGATGAATTATTTTATTCCATAAAAAACAACATGCTTGCAATTTTGAAATAGCGTCAAGTAAGTATTTCTGTCAATAAAAGTCCATAATATCGAACGAAATTAACGTCTTGAAAAAGTTGTGCAAGGTCTCAACTGTGTACTTAACATAATGCGTGCATTCAAAAAACAATATAAATACAAGAATGTAAGTTCAGCATCATAACAATATGCTAGTTTCTACATCAGCATCAGATATGACCATTGCAGCATGTCATTTAATACATACCGTGTCTTAACTTCTTTGAGAAGCATTTTAGAAGTTGGAACGTGCAATATTGAACAAACTTCATGGAAAACTACTTTTTGCGTGAGCGCAACGCTTCAAAACATATTCTTGTATTGCTGTCAAGCAGGAATGTACCGTTGTCAAGGAGGAATGTACCGTTGTTAAGCATGGATGTACCATTGTGAGGGAGGAATGTACCGTTGTCAAGTATGAATGTACCGTTGTCAAGCATAACTGTACTGTTGTCAAGCAGGAGTGAGTGAGTGAGTTAATATTTAACGTCACATCGGCAATATCTCAGCCATAGCGTGACAAGAACATATTTCTCATTGAAATGGAATATATGTATATGATAAAAAACCTGTCGACGAAGGACAGTAAAACAACCTGTATATCACAAGTACAACTAGACTAACAACTAGTCTCTGAAATGAACATATTTTACTGAAAAAAGTTCATAGTAAAAACAATATATATATAATGAAAAGGAGCCCTGAGACTTTCTTCATTTTCAGAGACCCTGAAGCTGAGGAAATCTAGACTTGCCACATTTTCTAGACTTATGTGGGCTTTCTTGGATATATTTGCTTCAGGGTCTGTACGAGAGACTAAAGTACAACTAAAACTAGTGTGGAAAGTTGAAACTAATAGCACTATGAGGACAAAACAGTATAAAAACTGGCTATAGATCGCCAACAACTGAAGGGAGATCACCAAATTAGGGACGTCAAGCAGGAATGTACTGTTGTCAAGCACGAATTCACTGTTGTCAAGCAGGAATGTACCTGCTTGACAACAGCACAATATTCTGTATCGAAACGTCACACTCCCGATGTAGAATATACAAGATAGAGACGTGACGACTGCAAACACCCCCTTCTAAATGCCCCAAGAGAGGCCGGTTTAGCAAACACACGACGCAACTCGATTACATAGATGTGTCGAGTATTTAAATATCTGAAACTACAAATCTGTTTAGAAATACTAATTGTTAATGACCCATTGTACAAAGGTAATTGATAGATTTGTATTGAGTGTAGTACGGATTCTAAGACTGGTTTCAGACAATGAACACATCACACAGGCTTGTGTGCGCGTCATGTGATACTTAAACTGGTGCACGTACACGACCACTCAGTTATTTCTAACAGTATCAATATATACTGAACCCATTAATAAGTATACTAATCGTTTACGTTCTTTTCAAGAATTGTTTAAAAATAGAACCCGTCTAGTACCCTCATGATGAACAAAACAAATTCTTCACAAACTATGGTATTGCCACAAAAAGAGTTAGTGAGTGAGTTTAGTTTTACGCCGCACTCAGCAATATTCCAGCTATATGGCGGCGGTCTGTAAATAATCGAGTCTGGGCCAGAAAATCCAGTGATCAACAGCATGAGCATCCGCGCAATCGGGAACCGATGACATGTGTCAACCAAGTCAGCGAGCCTGACCATCTGATCCCGTTAGTCGCCTCTAACGACAAGCATCGGTTACTGAAGAACAATTCTAACCCGGATCGTCACGCGTGCCACTAAAAGAAGTTTAATAAAGTAACTTACATAAATACTTTTTATGGAAGAACACCTAAATGTGTCAATACTTCATAACGGTCACATTGGCATATGACATGATTATGATGAATATCATGATTCGTATACACATGTATATGAGACACACAAACAATCCCTTGCAACGCATGGAATTGATTTCACTCATACATGGTCGTCAGCGTGACAATGAGTATATGTAACATGCATATGACATCATCATGAAATGTGAACGACGACGACACGTGGCGTCTATGTGACATGCATCTGACATCATCATGAATGTGTACGTCGACGACACGTGGCGTCTATGTGACATGCATCTGACATCATCATGAATGTATACGACGACGACGACAATTAGCGTTTATGTGACATGCACATGACGCCATCATGAATGTGTACAACGACTCGTGGCGTTTATGTGACATGCATATGACATCATCATGAATGTGTACGACGACGACACGTGGCGTCTATGTGACATGCATATGACATCATCTTGAATGTGTACGACGATGACACGTGGCGTTTATGTGACATGCATATGACATCATCATGAATGTGTACGACGACGACAACGTGGCGTTTTTGTGACATGCATATGACATCATCATGATATGTGTACAATGACGACAACGTGGTGTCTATGTGACATGCATATGACATCATCATGAATGTGTACGATGACGACAACGTGGCGTCTATGTGACATGCATATGACATCATCATGAATGTGTACGACGATGACACGTGGCGTCTATGTGACATGCATCTGACATCATCATGAATGTGTACGACGACGACACGTGGCGTTTATGTGACATGCATCTGACATCATCATGAATGTGTACAACGACGCCAACGTGGTGTCTATGTGACATGCATATGACATCATCATGAATGAGTACGATGACGACAGCGTGGCGTCTATGTGACATGCATATGACATCATCATGAATGTATACGACGACGACACGTGGCGTTTATGTGACATGCATCTGACATCATCATGAATGTGTACGACGACGACAACGTGGCGTTTATGTGACGTGCATAAGACATCATCATGATATGTGTTCGATGACGACAACGTGGTGTCTATGTGACATGCATCTGACATCATCATGAATGTGTACGACGACGACACGTGGCGTTTATGTGACATGCATCTGACATCATCATGAATGTGTACAACGACGCCAACGTGGCGTCTATGTGACATGCATCTGACATCATCATGAATGAGTACGATGACGACAGCGTGGCGTCTATGTGACATGCATATGACATCATCATGAATGTATACGACGACGACGACACGTAGCGTTTATGTGACATACATATGACATCATCATGAATGTGTACGACGATGACACGTGGCGTCTATGTGACATGCATATGACATCAACATGAATGTGTACAACGACGACAACGTGGCGTCTATGTGACATGCATATGACATCATCATGAATTAGTACGACAATGACACGTGGCGTCTATGTGACATGCATATGACAACATCATGATCTGTGTGCGACGACAACATAGCGTATATGCGACATGCATTGATAACGCTATGATGTGTGAGCGACAACATGTGAAGAATATATTGATGCCATGTAAACGAGCAAAGGTGTAGCATTGATAAAACGGATGTTTCATGACCGTCGACAGCTATTCAGCTCCAGTCTGTCGGCGGGTAGCCATTGTAGAATCCGTTAAACAGAACAGCAGCAGCGACGAACAGCAGAAACACGACAGCGGTGACGATCCCCAGAGTTGTCTCCCATGGGTGCTCCACCATGTTCTTCAGAACTGGCACGCCCAGGAGTACACCTGTGATAAACAGCGTTCGTAAATATTAAAAGAATATCTTTAATCGTTTTAAAAACCATTTGGTACATTAGTTATCTTTCAGGCTGCAAATTATAATCTCGTTAGCAGTCATAGCGGCCAAGGAAAGGATTCATAAAGTTACTGTCCTTTATAATAACTCCAGGAAGTAAACATATAAACAATCTCAGTCGAGTGAATTTTGATGTCAAACATATCAACACAAGTCACAAGAGTGTAAAAACAGGTTTTTCTTAGGTTGAGAAAGGAATTTTAAATAATGAAGCCAACCAGCTTTAATAATTATTGGTCATTTGCAGGAAGAAGCAGAAAATTCGGGTAATTCTTCGTAGTTCATAAGTAATTCTAACAGTAAATATTTGTACGATGAATGTTTGTTTGTTTGGTGTTTAATGTCGCCCTCAGCAACATTCCAGCTATATGACAACGGTCGGCTTGTAGAAGATTCTAGCCACCACCAGACAACACATTGCGTGACATCATGAGCATCGAATGATACAATCACAAGCATCATTGTATACTCCCCAGGGAGTTGAGAATGATAATAGGATGTGCCGTTGAGATATACATCCAGTGATCGAGGGAAAAATACCAGCGCCTTGAGCATGCACCAGTTGCGTGGATATGTGCGCTATATATATATACTATAATAACAACTATAATAATCATCCAGGTCACCTATCGCGATTGCGTCATTCGCCCTTCAAAACCTGGGTTGGAGAATCCCACCCGGATCTTCACGGGTACAGTAGCTCGTCGGTAAAGTGAGTGAGTGAGTTTGGCATTACGCCGCTTTTAGCAATATTCCAGCAATATCACGGCGGGGACACCAGAAATGGGCTTCACACATTGTACCCAAGTGGGGAATCGAACCCGGGTCTTCGGCGTCACGAGCGAACGCTACAACCACTAGGCTACCCCACCGCCTCATGTCGGTGAAAGAAGATTTAGCTAGATAAACAGTTTCTGACAGAGGTATAAACTGGTTATTAACAAACCCAAATGTGTTTGATCGAAAATATTCTATTTCCGATTTCTAATATTTCAAGAACCTATGTTAGGGAAGTTAACGCCAAATGTACCCTGGCACTATAATTTGAGTTGGAGATTTGGTTATAACATGAAGTCAATATGGAGTCGACCAGATATTTGCATGCATGTTCCTGTTTTAATGGTTTGACGTCTTGCCATGTTCGCTTGAGGATGGTTGTGATATAGAATCGCCGGAATTGCTGTGTGTTATATGTGTACAATACCTGCTAGAACACTGCCAATATGAGCCCCCATATGTGTAGAATACCTGCTAGAACACCGCCAATATGAGCCCCCATATGTGTACAATACCTGCTAGAAAACCGCCAATATGAGCCCCCATATGTGTAGAATACCTGCTAGAACACCGCCAATATGAGCTCCTATATATGTACAATACCTGCTAGAACACCGCCAATATGAGCCCCCATATGTGTACAATACCTGCTAGAACACCGCCAATATGAGCCCCCATATGTGTACAATACCTGCTAGAACACCGCCAATATGAGCCCCATATGTGTACAATACCTGCTAGAACACCGCCAATATGAGCCCCTATATATGTGTAATACAATACCCGCCAATATGAGCTCAGAACACACCGCCAATATGAGCCAATATGTGTAGCCCCCATATGTGTACAATACCTGCTAGAACACCGCCAATATGAGCCCCCATATGTGTACAATACCTGCTAGAACACCCTGCTAGAACACCGCCAATATGAGCTCCTATATGTGTACAATACCTGCTAGAACACCGCCAATATGAGCCCCCATATGTGTACAATACCTGCTAGAACACCGCCAATATGAGCTCCCATATGTGTACAATACCTGCTAGAACACCGCCAATATGAGCCCCCATATGTGTACAATACCTGCTAGAACACCGCCAATATGAGCCCCATATGTGTACAGAATACCTGCTAGAACACCGCCAATATGAGCCCCCATATGTGTACAATACCTGCTAGAACACCGCCAATATGAGCCCTCATATGTGTAGAATACCTGCTAGAACACCGCCAATATGAGCCCCCACAGCGATCCTCCCGCCAGTCTTCCTCGGAGCCCCAACAGCGATCCTCCAGTCTTCCTCGGAAGCCACGTGCTTGTAGATGGCGCGACCGATTTCATGTAAAACTGGAACAGGGAACTCATTGTCATTGTTAAAAAAACAAACCCCACCCCTTTCGATTTCTTCGAAAATGTCTCGCTTTATTTCGATATTTGCCTTATATTATTGTCATAGAGTAAACCATTTCAATAAGTTTCTGTAAAACTTCATATATTCAAACAACATAATTGTTTCAATATATATCCAAAGTGCACCGAAATTCTATCCCCTTTTAATTGTCTGTTTAATGTATTCAGCAATCATTCGGTGTAGCCCTCTTATCATAAACCCCCCTCCGGGCAGGACCCTTAATTTAACGCTATCAGTAAATGCCAATCAACACGTCACTAAGTCAGCGGATCTTACGTATGTACATGTGGATAGTGACCTTGCATAACGTGGCGTAATGTCCCTATGTATAAAACCTGACTGACATGCTGCAACTATACCTGCAATTCCTACTTCAAAATTCCAAGCACAATTAAAGCCATACTGGAGGAGGTATGAACTTAAAGAACATCATGACCATAAGCGTAATTGCCGCAAAAAATTGGTTTTCTAACGGCAAAAGCCACAGTTCAGATGACAAATCTTTTATTGAACATAAACAAGCCAAACGTGCATTTCGAAGAAACCACCATTCAGCTAAGCAACGTTACAAAAACGAAACATTTGATGACATCCAAGAATACTTTAGAGTTACAAAAAAGTTAAAACGTAAAAGAGAGCAAACACAGTCTCTACGTTATAACGGTGACTCCTGTAACACGCAGGAAGGTGTATGTAATCTCTTTGCCAGGTACTTCAGAGACTTGTCTGTACCTCAGAATGCAGAATTCTTTGATACTGGATTTACAGAGCACGCTGATAAGTTTGTAGAAGATGTTGTATATAACCCTGTAAATGACGACAGTGATTCAGTCATTCTCTCCCCATTTACTAAAGATGAGGTACTTTATACCGTGAAACGTCTTAAAAACAACAAATCTCCAGGTCCAGATGGTATTTCAAACGAGCATGTAAAGTATGCTGGTCGGTCTGTTATTGATCATATTGTATCACTATTTAATGCCACTGTATCGTTTGAATATGTACCAAATGCATTTAGTGTTGGTAATGTTTTACCAATTCACAAAGGAAAGGCCGTCGCCTCACCAACGACTACGTCGACGATGGAGAATCGCCGTCCGACTTCTGAATGTGTGTAAGTGACAGAGCGGGTCTCCACATCGGGAACATTGGCCACTCGGTCCCGATGTGCGTTCTGTCACGTGATTTCCATCTTATGTACCATTTCTACCATTATTCCCCAACCATAATAAACATGGCTGCTGCTGTCTTCAACTCTACCGCTGACATTTGTCTTCCGTCTCTTGTCCACCATCCTGAACTACCATCCGAGAGTACCCCGACGAACGCTCTTGGGCATTACTTTACAACATTTACCAAAAATATGTATATATCTCGTCGGGATTTCATATCTAACATATGCTACGTAAAGCTAATGATCTTACAGAACTTGGTGACAAAACTATGACTGTGGCGTGAAACTAAACTGACGAGCAAAAGAAAGTACACAGGTGTAACTGTTGTTGCAATCCCAAATATGCGTTCTAACTAATAAAATTATTGAAAAACATTGATTGTATAGAACGCAACCATCATGTTTCATTTGCCAAAATGCAACCAAAAACATTTGTACGTGTTTTGCACGAATTTTTGCAAAATTGTGATTATTGTCCCATGCACCAGCACTTTTCTGACAGAGAGTATAAAACCTGTTTGTCGTGAAGACTGAACAATCACTTGACAGAAATCTCACGAGGAAATGCCAAGATTGACGTCGGCGCAACGAGAACGGGCCAACGGAATGACACAAATGGGTGCTTTCAACAGCGATATTGCAAGGACATTGGGTTGCAAAAGACAAACCATAATTCGGCTGTTTAACCGTTTCAGTACGACAGGCCAGACATGTGATCGACCCAGAAGTGGACGTTCCAGAGTCACAACACTATCATTAAAATATTGACACAGTTCACTGTTTGTTACGAGGGAGGAGTGCAGAGAAAGGGACAGCCAGACGTTCGAGAACGGATGGAGACGGCACAGCACAGGTTAATGAATAAATAACTTTGTCTGTGAACGTGCTTCTCGAACACCTGGCTGTCCCTGTATCTGCAATCCTCCCTCGTAACAAACAGTGAACTGTGTCAATATTTTAATGATAGTTTGTTAAACAACTTTTTTATTTTTAGGACAAAAATTCTGCAAAAACCTCACAGAGTGGGTATGATGTTTTGATTATGATCAGCGTTTCATTGAGTATGTTAGGTTTATTAGTTTTCGAGTTAGATTGCAATTCATCTGTCCGCTTTTGAGCCAAACGGACTGTAGCAATTAATTAAAACGTGATTCATTTTACAAAAGGTTTTGCTCTGTTTATGACTCCTATGGTGTTTATGTTTTGAAACATCACAACAAAACGCACCATCCGTAAAATACCCGTATTTAACAGCATGATTTTCAATTTCGGCGTGTAGTGTCACAGAATACACAATTCACATGCAATGCACATGAAAGTTGGGAATCAGATAGTCTCAATGATGGGTATAAAAGGTTGATCGCTGTCTGTCGATTATTCACTGTATTTGGAATATTGTTGACGAACGCAAAATGCCACGTCTAAGTGAAGCCAACCGTCATATCGCCATTGGTTTGCTTGAAGCTGGTCAGTCTCAACGTGCAGTTGCCCGATGCATGAATGTTCACCAAAGCACCATTTCACGGCTCTGGGAGAGATATCGCCGGCAGAATGCGGTAGCAGATGCCCCTCGTAGTGGGCAACCTCAAGCGACCACTGCGGCGCAGGATCGCTACATCCGGGTACATCACCTGCGTCATCGAAAAGCTACGGCGACCAGTACCGCTCCACAAATACCCGGAGTGAGGAGGCTTTCTGCACAGACCGTCAGGAACAGGTTGAGAGAGGCTGGGTTACGTACCAGAAGACCTTATTTTGGCCCTGTGCTTCGACAACAACATCGTCGACATCGAGTTCAATGGTGCACCAACGTTCAGGCCAGGAACCTACCGAATTGGCGTAGAATCTGGTTCAGTGATGAATCACGATTTTTATTGAAACGACGTGATGGAAGAATGCGGGTGTCCAGACGTCGACGTGAACGTTTCGCCGACGCTTGCGTTCCCCAGGTGGACAGATTCGGCCGGGGCAGTGTTATGATGTGGGGAGCGATCACCTGCCGTAGGAGAAGTGATTTGGTGATGATCCAGGGCAACCTGACAGCTCAACGGTACTGTGACGAAATCCTACGCCCACACCTCCTTCCAATCATTGATCGCCAGAGGGAGTTGTTTCAACAGGACAATGCCAGGCCCCACACAGCACGTCACACTAGAGACTTCCTCCAGAACCACAACATCAATGTGCTCCCCTGGCCCTCAAGATCACCGGACTTAAACCCGATCGAACATCTGTGGGATGCCCTGGACAGACGGGTGCGACGCCGTAACCCTCAGCCCCAGACACTTCAGCAACTCGCACAGGCACTACAGGCAGAGTGGGCTGCGATTGGGCAACACGAGATTCTGAGACTTATTCGTTCGATGCCGAGGCGATGCCGTGCAGTTCTGGATGCCCACGGTGGTCACACGAGGTATTGACTTCAGCGCCACCACACGTCTCCATGTGACACTCAAACTGACTTTCCTCGAGTTGGTGCCAAAGACGGATAAGTCTGCATTCCCAGTGTGCAATTTCGCTATATTTCATTGACTCATAAAGCCTACAAGATGTTTCAAAATAAACATAAAAATACAGTTGAAATTCCTATATGCGTTTCTTTTTTGGGAGAGTATATATTGACATATATCATAGTGACGGACAATTTCATTTTATAAATATTCTTACTTTGGTCTGAAACCATTTATGCTGCATCTATAGATATAGTGTTTGACTACTGAAATGATTCATTAATGGGATTGTTGTTCTTTCCTTTCATTCCCAATATAGCGATTTTATTTGTAAATTCCAGTTGTAACTGTACTGATTCTATTTCTTTCCATAATTTAAGAACAGATTGCCATTCCCACAACATATGGTTGATAGTTTCTCTTTCTGTTTCACAAAATGGAGTTATTGGTGAGGATGTGAGGTGAGGTGAAATTGGGTTTAACGTCTTGCTTGAGAATATTTCGCTCATATGACGACGTGCATGCGTGTGTACGGGTATGTGCAGCTGCTTGTACTAGCCCAGACTTAAGCTGGTTTTATAGTGCTAGCCAACTGAGATACCATGCCGCAGTGAAGCATGAATACCCCACTCAGACACATTATACTGACTCCGAGACGACCAGTCCTTGTTGTACCCATTAATGCCGAGCGCCAGGCAGGGAAAAACAAGTACCAACAAGTACCATATTTTAAAGTCTTTTGGTATGACGCGGTCGGGGATCGAACCGCTCTCCCGCTCTCCATGCGGACGCTCTAACCACTACACCACGGAGGCGGTCGATGAGGATGTGTATCCAGTTTTATAAGTAATTGTCTTGTTAGCAGAATATTGTGAATAATTCTATATTGCAACCTTTTCAAGTCTATGCTTCGCGAGCATATATTTGCAATAACGTTAACAAATTTCCAGTCATTTTCAGTAAAATCACTCTGTAGTTTCCAAAATGTGATATATTTAACAGTAAAAGATAAAAGTGTGAGATTCTATTTAGCCTCCAAAATGATTCTTGAAACTTTCAGAGCATTCTGACGCTATTTCATTGTAGCGCCATTTCCTGAGATCATTGGATGGGATTACAATATATAGTTTTGAAACTGGAGTCGTATCTGAAGTATCTTGATTAATCCCTTAAAACGTGTTTCTCGTATGTAGTCGCACAGGTAATTCCATATGGGGTCTCAAAAATGTATTTGGAACTTTGGGAAACGTCTTCAGCATTCACGACCAACTTTAATGTATATGAGACTGTCTTTACTCTTTGTCCCATATTTAACCGTGTCACCTTACCCAATGGCAAGACCACCACGAGTCGAATCGGAGCTGTTGACAGGTTGCGGTCGATGTTACGTGGCAGACATTTACATGAGCACTCGCACCTCACTCGCATCTGATTCCAGTTCTGAAAAAGTTACATTGCAAACACCTCATTAACACAGCGAAGAGACCCGATAACGACGGAGTAGTACCGTTGTTAACGTCTATATAAACGTGCCTAAATACTATCTTCCCTGTCATCACATACGTAATATGGTACAGGGTCATAGCAGTACGAAGACAATATTTCTAACAATGTTGCACACACAAATCCTTACAGCATATCCAATTTAATAAATGCACACATTTGTGACAACAACACCGTGATAAGGAGAAGTAGTGTTCTGACTGACTCACCGTGATGACAACAGCCAGATGGGCACCAACAAGGGCAAACGATCCAGCACTGGCGCCCACCAAGGCCAAGTCATGTTCTACCATCGAGTGGAGCAGAGAACCTGTAGAACAGACAAAGACCTCACATTAACACGCGCCGATCACTAAACAATATCATCACTTATGACCTTATCAAACCAGTTCATCATTTGTTTCTGATTGTTGGACATGTTCCCGAAGGTAATGTTGTTTAACGCCGCAATCAGTAATGTTGTAGCTGTACAACAGAGGATGTCAGCTGAGTCTTGGCAGTAAAAGACTAAAAACATGAGCCACGACCAATGTCAACCAGGTCAGTGGACCTGAAAACCTCCGTCGGCACTTACGACCAGATATGGCTACTTGGGTTCTTCAGTCATTGAATCCCCACAAGGAGAAAAGAATGGGGAACTGTTGGCCTATTCTTCCTGGAAAATGAGGAGCTATTCTTCCTGGAACATGGGGACCTATTCTTCCTGGAAAATGAGGACCTATTCTTCCTGGAAAATGAGGACCTATTCTTCCTGGAAAATGAGGACCTATTCTTCCTATTCTTCCTGGAAAATGAGGACCTATTCTTCCTATTCTTCCTGGAAAATGGAGACCTATTCTTCCTGGAAAATGAGGACCTAATCTCCCTGAAAATGAGGACCTATTCATCCTGGAAAATGGGGACCTATTCTTCCTGGAAAATGACGACCTATTCTTCCTGGAAAATGAGGACCTATTCTTCCTGGAAAATGAGGACCTATTCTTCCTGGAAAATGAGGACCTATTCTTCCTGGAAAATGAGGACCTATTCTTCCTGGAAAATGAGGACCTATTCTTCCTGGAAAATGGGGACCTATTCTTCCTATTCTTCCTGGAAAATGAGGACCTATTCTTCCTGGAAAATGAGGACCTATTCTTCCTGGAAAATGAGGACCTATTCTTCCTGGAAAATGGGGACCTATTCTTCCTATTCTTCCTGGAAAATGGGGACCTATTCTTCCTGGAAAATGAGGACCTATTCTTCCTTCCTATTCTTCCTGGAAAAAGGGGACCTATTCTTCCTGGAAAAAGGGGACCTATTCTTCCTGGAAAATGAGGACCTATTCTTCCTGGAAAATGGGGACCTATTCTTCCTGGAATCGCCACAGTGAGACAAGAACAGGGTATTGGGGACCCCACAGGTACACAGTCTTGGGATCTGTTCGTCTTTGAATCTTTACAGGGAGACAGGCATGAAGTACAAGGGACCTATTCTTTCTCGAATGTCAACAGTGGAACAAGTGGTTACAATGGGCATCGTGTATGGACCGTTGTCCGTGTCACCGCCTGCTGTGAGACACCGAGACTCATTCATCTGAGAGGGGCGTGGCACCTACCTGCAATGATGCCACACAGGTAGACTATCATAACTCGCCACCACTTGTGAATCATCTCAAGGGACAGGCCCACGAACAGCTGGAGAAGCATGTTGCCAATCAAGTGTTCATATCTACAATAAAGAAGAAAAACAACGACGATGACTACGACAACGACGACGATGATGCTTCTTTGATTTTCGTGAAGCAGCCATGGCGTTAAAGTTCTAATACAAGACAGGAACATACAGTCTGACTTTCGACTGTCGGACTTGCCCCAGGCCGGAGGGGTAGCCTAGTGGTAAAAGCGCTCGATGACAAGGGTTCGATTCTGGTGTCCATTGCCATGATTAATGCCAAAAGCGGATTACAACCTCACTCACTCCTGGTGTATAAACATATAGGTGAGGTAAAGCTTCACTCACCCCTGGTGTATAAACATATAGGTGAGGTAAAGCTTCACTCACCCCTGGTGTATAAACATATAGGTGAGGTATCGCCAGGCCTCGTAGCGACGTGTTGGCAGGTACACCAAAGGGCTGTCCCGGGGGTACCCGGTAGTGGCGGTGACGGGGGTCGAGGTGCCGGCAAGCTCTACAGCATATGCAGCGAATATCGCTATCTGCAAAAAGAAAAGAATAGAAACATCACGAAAATTTAATTCAAATGACCCCCAATCTCATCCGAGCCTACCCGTGAAGGTCCGGGTAAGAATGAACCTTCAGTAACCCATGCTTGTCGTAAGAGGCGACTAACGGGATCGGAAGGTCAGGCTCGCTGGCTTTGTTGACATATGTCATCGGTTCCCAGTTGCTCAGTTCGATGCTCATGCTGGGCTGTCTGGGCTGTCTGGTCCAGACTCGATTATTTACAGACCGCCACCATATAGCTGGAATATTGCTGAGTGCAGTGTAAAACTAAACTCACTCACTCATCAGAGCCACCATCTTGCAATACTCGAAGAACTGATTCACTGTCATTTACAAAAGGATTACGTACAACAACACTGCGTGACTGGAAACTCTAATGCTTGTACGGATGCATCAAGCTGTCGTCAAACGTAATACATACAAACATTACAACATGCGTCGCTGTTCACGCACGATTAACTCTATTGACAAGGCGAATATGCGAGTTTAATCTGCTCGGAACAGTATTTCAGATATTTCACGTTTCATCCTTGTTGAAACCCCCGCCGTGATGTTGCTGGAATATTGCTAAAAGCGGCGTAAAACCAAAGGTCATCAGTCATCTTTGTTGAAATCGAGGGGATTCCAAACCTAGATCGTGATATTCTGCAACTTGATCGTCTGTTTCGTTGGCGATGTTCTGGACTGCGAATTGCCTTGCCTGGAGATGGACGCTTCACCTGGACTATGGTGACAGGGGAATTTAGACGTCTCACCTGGACTATGGTAGTAACGGGAATATAGATGTCTCACCTGGATTATGGTAGTATGGGGAATATAGATGTCTCACCTGGACTATTGTTATGGCAGGAATATAGATGTCTCACCTGGACTATTGTTATGGCAGGAATATAGATGTCTCACCTGGACTATTGTAGTAACGGGACTATAGACATCTCACCTGGACCATGGTAGTAACGGGAATATAGATGTCTCACCTGGACTATGGTAGTAACGGGAATATAGATGTCTCACCTGGACTAGGGTAGTAACGGGAATATAGATGTCTCACCTGGACTATGGTAGTAACGGGAATATAGATGTCTCACCTGGACTATGGTAGTAACGGGAATATAGATGTCTCACCTGGACTATTGTTATGGCGGGAATATAGATGTCTCACCTGGACTATTGTTATGACGGGAATATAGATGTCTCACCTGGACTATTGTTATGGCGGGAATATAGATGTCTCACCTGGACTATTGTTATGGCAGGAATATAGATGTCTCACCTGGACTATTGTTATGGCAGGAATATAGATGTCTCACCTGGACTATTGTTATGGCAGGAATATAGATGTCTCACCTGGACTATTGTTATGGCAGGAATATAGATGTCTCACCTGGACTATTGTTATGGCAGGAATATAGATGTCTCACCTGGACTATTGTTATGGCAGGAATATAGATGTCTCACCTGGACTATTGTTATGGCGGGAATATAGATGTCTCACCTGGACTATTGTTATGGCGGGAATATAGATGTCTCACCTGGACTATTGTTATGGCAGGAATATAGATGTCTCACCTGGACTATTGTTATGGCAGGAATATAGATGTCTCACCTGGACTATTGTTATGGCAGGAATATAGATGTCTCACCTGGACTATTGTTATGGCGGGAATATAGATGTCTCACCTGGACTATTGTTATGGCAGGAATATAGATGTCTCACCTGGACTATTGTTATGGCAGGAATATAGATGTCTCACCTGGACTATTGTTATGGCAGGAATATAGATGTCTCACCTGGACTATTGTTATGGCAGGAATATAGATGTCTCACCTGGACTATTGTTATGGCAGGAATATAGATGTCTCACCTGGACTATTGTTATGGCAGGAATATAGATGTCTCACCTGGACCTTGACTGGCGGGAATATAGATGTTACTGTTATGGCGGGAATATAGATGTCTCACCTGGACTATTGTAGTATGCACCTGGAATATAGATGTCTCCACCTGGACCATATGTTATGGCAGGAATATAGATGTCTCACCTGGACTATTGTTATGGCAGGAATATAGATGTCTCACCTGGACTATTGTTATGGCAGGAATATAGATGTCTCACCTGGACTATTGTTATGGCAGGAATATAGATGTCTCACCTGGACTATTGTTATGGCGGGAATATAGATGTCTCACCTGGACTATTGTTATGGCGGGAATATAGATGTCTCACCTGGACTATGGTATAGATATGGACTATGGTAGTAACAGGAATATAGATGTCTCACCTGATGTCTCACCTGGACTATTGTTATGGCGGGAATATAGATGTCTCACCTGGACTATTGTTATGGCAGGAATATAGATGTCTCACCTGGACCATTGTATGGCAGGAATATAGATGTCTCACCTGACTATTGTTATGGCAGGAATATAGATGTCTCACCTGGACTATTGTTATGGCAGGAATATAGATGTCTCACCTGGACTATTGTTATGGCAGGAATATAGATGTCTCACCTGGACTATTGTTATGGCGGGAATATAGATGTCTCACCTGACTATTGTTATGGCGGGAATATAGATGTCTCACCTGACTATTGTTATGGCAGGAATATAGATGTCTCACCTGGACTATTGTTATGGCGGGAATATAGATGTCTCACCTGGACTATTGTTATGGCAGGAATATAGATGTCTCACCTGGACTATTGTTATGGCGGGAATATAGATGTCTCACCTGGACTATTGTTATGGCAGGAATATAGATGTCTCACCTGGACTATTGTTATGGCAGGAATATAGATGTCTCACCTGGACTATTGTTATGGCAGGAATATAGATGTCTCACCTGGACTATTGTTATGGCAGGAATATAGATGTCTCACCTGGACTATTGTTATTATGGCGGAATATAGATGTCTCACCTGGACTATTGTTATGGCGGGAATATAGATGTCTCACCTGGACTATTGTTATGGCAGGAATATAGATGTCTCACCTGGACTATTGTTATGGCAGGAATATAGATGTCTCACCTGGACTATTGTTATGGCAGGAATATAGATGTCTCACCTGGACTATTGTTATGGCAGGAATATAGATGTCTCACCTGGACTATTGTTATGGCAGGAATATAGATGTCTCACCTGGACTATTGTTATGGCAGGAATATAGATGTCTCACCTGGACTATTGTTATGGCAGGAATATAGATGTCTCACCTGGACTATTGTTATGGCAGGAATATAGATGTCTCACCTGGACTATTGTTATGACGGAAATATAGATGTCTCACCTGGACTATTGTTATGGCAGATATAGAGATGTCTCACCTGGACTATTGTTATGGCGGGAATATAGATGTCTCACCTGGACTATTGTTATGGCGGGAATATAGATGTCTCACCTGGACTAGTGTTATGGCAGGAATATAGATGTCTCACCTGGACTATTGTTATGGCAGGAATATAGATGTCTCACCTGGACTATTGTTATGGCAGGAATATAGATGTCTCACCTGGTCTATTGTTATGGCAGGAATATAGATGTCTCACCTGGACTATTGTTATGGCGGGAATATAGATGTCTCACCTGGACTATTGTTATGGCAGGAATATAGATGTCTCACCTGGACTATTGTTATGGCAGGAATATAGATGTCTCACCTGGACTATTGTTATGGCAGGAATATAGATGTCTCACCTGGACTATTGTTATGGCGGGAATATAGATGTCTCACCTGGACTATTGTTATGGCAGGAATATAGATGTCTCACCTGGACTATTGTTATGGCAGGAATATAGATGTCTCACCTGGACTATTGTTATGGCAGGAATATAGATGTCTCACCTGGACTATTGTTATGGCGGGAATATAGATGTCTCACCTGGACTATTGTTATGGCAGGAATATAGATGTCTCACCTGGACTATTGTTATGGCGGGAATAAAGATGTCTCACCTGGACTATTGTTATGGCGGGAATATAGATGTCTCACCTGGACTAGTGTTATGGCGGGAATATAGATGTCTCACCTGGACTATTGTTATGGCAGGTATAAAGATTGCCGGGGGGTAACAGTTGCAGTGCTTCAGGTAGTCGCTCTTGCTGACCCCGATACAGACGTAGGTCACACAGGGTGTCAACATGCACCTCTTGCACGGATGCAGCTCTTTACTGCTACCCTGTAACATGCCGTTAGTACTGTAATATTACAGGATATTATAGGAAGGGATGGCAGTAATACACGTTACTTAGACATGCTCTAAAAAATATTATGACATTATTTGTCTTCAGGTTTAAGAATACAAAGGAAACCATTCACATGACCCTAATGCATTATTTGTTTTGCAAGGTTTGTTTCGGACAGGACATTTCATGTTATTCATGAGTTTATTGAAATCTTTATGAGTGATAAAGATTAAAAAAGATTATTACTATAACTCTAACTTGATTTAAACATATATTTATTCATGAAGATGAATTGGGATTGGTGAACAAGCATTACTGCTTATATTAACACCGCTCCCATGTAACATATAATACAACATGAAAATGGAGGATTTGACGTCATCGATACTGACCATTGCATAAATACAATATATTTAAAATATATAAATATATATAGATTACATGAAATACAACTATTCTCTGAGTAGTCATAAGTTAGAGAGTTACAGTTGTGTGTGTCTCACAAGCCATTGTAGAAATATATAAATCAATCATGAGAAGGTTGTTGAGTAAATTTAATTATTTTCCTGAGAAAATTTGAAGCGTTGTGTCTTGGTTATATAATCGTGGACGGATTCAACTATTTTCTGGTTTACACAGGGAGTAAGTTCTTTGTTTCCCTTAAGAATGGTATCCAGGTTATAACCGGTAGTGTAAAAATACATATTAAGCCTTATCCGCGTATAGTTACGGCAAGTAAGGAAATAGTGTAGGGCGTTTTCACTCTGATGTCCACAAGAACAAAAAGGGCTGTCTATTAAATGTCTGTTGTACTTATCGGCGTTTAGGTCGCTACATCCGAGCCTGAGGCGGCAGTGAACGATTTGGCAAAAACGAGTGCCATAATTAAGGTCAAAGTAAATCTTATTTTCAGTTTTTGTAATTAGGTTTTTAAATTCTGTGAGATTACATGACGCTTTGGAATTTGGTAGGGCATTCCATAAATTTATTGTGGCAGGTAAAAAGGATTTAGCATAAGAGGCAGTGCGACTGTAAATTCCTTGTATTTCAGAGTTATTCCTCAAGCTGTAGTTTGTAGTTCCGGAGACGGAATTTGGGATCAGGTCACAAAGATATTTTGGCAATTCGTTGTTGTACATCTTATAGAAAAAAGTTAACTTCTGGCAATACCTTCTATCTTGCAAGGACTGAGATTTGGTTTCATTATAAAGTTTGTTATGACTTGTGCCACGAACGGCACCACATATATAGTTCTCAGAGCAGCATCAAGATGTAAATTTTCTAATGTACGCGATTGCTCAGAAGTACAGTTATCCCAAATATGCGAACAATAGTCAAATATTGGCAAGATATAGGATTTATACATAATATCCAACGTTTTACGTGATAATCGGTATTTTAAAACTCCTCAGACAACTGATCATAGGGCGAACTTTACGTACAATATCATTAGTGTGATCATTCCACGTACAATCGCTTTGGAGTGTTAATCCTAAATGTTTATGACTTTTGACTTCTTTTATGATTGTTCCGTCCATGAATAGGTTCGGTTTTAGAGACGGTTTCGTTTTACGTGAGAACTGAGTAGTTTCGGTTTTATTTGGATGAAATGTAACCTGCCACTTACGGGCCCATTGTGAAATTCTATCTAGATCTTTGTTAAGACAGGTAGCAGCAACTGATGGATCGTCTATGATAACATATAATGAGGTGTCATCCGCAAAGAGACGAATGTTACTGTCAACATCACATACAATATCATTGATGTATATCAGAAAAAGAAGTGGTCCAAGGACAGAGCCCTGAGGTACTCCAGCTAGTACAGTTTTCTTGTCAGATTAATAGCCGTTAATTGCGACCCGTTGTACTCTATTTTCTAATTAACTTTCAAACCATTGTAATAGTTCGCCTTGGATACCATAGGTTTTCAGTTTGTAAATCTTGTTAACTCTAACTTCAACTCTGCTTCGAGATCGAACCCATAATCATTGATTGCTTGTTCATCGTTATTGACAAATATTGTTTATGAATACGACGGAATGAGCTGGGTTAATGTTTTGTTTGTTTGTTTGTTGTTTAACGCCACACTCAGCAATACTCAAGCTATATGATGGCGGTCTGTAAATAATCAAATCTGAACCAGACAATTCGGTGATCAATATCGATATACGCAATTGGGATACGATGACATGTGTCAAATAAGTCAACGAGTCTGACCACCCGATTATGTTAGTCGCCTCTTCCGACAAGCATGGGTTGTTGAAGACCAATTATAACCCGGATCTTCACGGGAGCTAGGTTTATGTAATACAGATCTAATATCAGCTGCTAGCGCCTGAACGGTAGTGATTGCTATGTTGTGTAATTATTAAATGCGCGGAAATTTAAATAATAGCAAACAGCCCGCGAAACCGCGTTACTCCGTACTGAATGAGTCATTACGTGGGAATGTCGGTTATACAGTAGGTGCATAGCAATGATGCAGGTATTATGTAACGGGCGGAGTACATACGTCACCCGATTCCGCATCCACGACATCCTTGCATCTGCAACCACATCCACCACACATGGCTCCTTGACTGTCCTCTGTTGTCCTCGACTGTCCTCCGTTGTCTTCAGTTGTCCTCGACTGTCCTCAACTGTCAAGTGGTGCCAGGTGTTGGTTCAGTTGTCCTCAATTGTCCTCAGCGTCATTTAGATGTAATTTTTATTTTCAATTGTGCTCGGTCGTCTTTGGTTGTTTTCAACTGTTTTCGGGTTTCTTCTGTCCTTTACAAATCTTGAGTATCCTCAGACACTGTCCTCAACAGTTTTCCGTTGTCCTCGAGTCTTTTTTTACATTGCTATTTGTCCTGAACTGAGCTCAACTGTCCTGAACTGTGCTTAACTGTCCTGAACTGAGCTCAACTGTCCTGAACCGAGCCAACTGCCCTGAACGGAGCTCAACTGCCCTGAACTGTGCTTAACAGTTTTCAGTTATCCATGGTAGTCCTCAACAGTATGCAGCTGTCCGAATATTCACTGTAGTATCCGGAGACACCCCTGCCCCTGCACCAGCGAGGGATACTGCTCTGTGTCCGTGTAGATACCCTGCGTGCACTCTACTCCAGGATAGGAACAGCACTGCGCGGGGAACTGGGAAGATAGTTCCCTGTGTCAGGCTGTATGCGCCGTCGCGGTCTGCTGCAGTGTATATTAATTAGACGTGCATGTCACCGTGCCTGTTTACGTCACCTTGTCGTTCGGATTTATCGATGCTAACGTCAGGGCTTCGATGTGTCCTGTGTTCTTCTTAAAGCCACCTTTAAAGAGTAAAGTGAACAAGTCCAGTTAACAATATGAAATCTCATTTGCGTTTTGTAGCAGGTGTACCATATGGGACATGCCACACGTGGTTGATCAATGTAACTCAGTTGAGGGACGCTAGACATCAGGTTATGCACTGTATATGTCAATAAATATGTAGGTGCATCTACACGGGGAATAAGCATATCAAACAGCGCGGTGAGCGAACAATACTGAAAGCCGATACAGTATCCTTGCAGTTCTTCGCGGATTACACAAATGTGTATGTATACCCTGTAAACATTTTAAGTGAAGAGGTACCATGAAATGAGAGGGATGGAGTGGGGATAAAGGGGGGAGAGAGGGAGAGGAGAGAGAGGGAGGGAGAGAGGTGATAGAGGGAGAAAGAACGAGGGAAAGAGAGACGGTGGGAGAGCGGAGGGGAGAGAAAGGGTGAGAGAGAGGGTAGGAGGGAGAGATAGGGGGGGAGAGAGAAGATCAGAGAGAGGGGGAGATATTGGGGAGAGAAGAGGGAAAGAGAGAGAGGGGGTGAAGAGGCAGAGAGAGAGGGGAGAGAGAGAGACAGACAGAGAGGGGGGAGGAAGGAGAGAGAAACGGGGGAGCTGAGAGGTAGAACCACGTTTCGCATTTAAATCCTTGGCAATATTTGTATTTCAATGTCGCCTTTGAATGCTTCAGTCTACAATCCAATGTAAACAAGTGCGTTAACAGCTTAAGCCTATGCGAGAACTGACCCTTTTGTTTAATTCATTCATTCACATGTTAAAACACGTTAATACTGCATTAAAGTACACTTGTACTAGAAGGATAAAACGTACCCGATGTCGACGTGTAATGAGGTCGTGATGGAGAATTTGTGGCCAACGAAGCCGCCGCCCTCTTTCTCTCTGTTTATATGCATCTACACTGCCAGGCCACGACAGGTATGTCAGGTCGAACACTTCAAAACAAAGCAATACTTCTAATGATACCAATGGACATTCACTGATCAGTGCTGTCACATACACCTGTGTCGTTGGTTCAGTGCAAGGTGTGGTTGATGCAGGGTTGATTCAAGTGGGTATGCAGATTGTCCCGGACGTTGAGCTTGTGTATGGGAAACGACTGTTTACACAGAGGGGAGTATTTTGTTCTCTTCCCTCTCCTCTCTAAAGTACGTGACAACACGTGACACATGTGGGGGATTGGGTGTATATATCTGAATATATTGCGTCATTTTCAAGGCATGGTTCACTGGGCACTGAGCAAAAAATACCAAAACGTTGCACAAAACAGATTCTGAACAAGCGATATTCTACACTTGGCGTGATTTTAAACACACGGTTAACTGTGCATTGGGCCAAACATGCTCCAGACATACTCTCTATCTCCTGTCTGAGTCTGATACCAAATGATGACGTCATGAAAGACACTATCAGGCGTCTACTGTTTGGCTTCAAAGAAACACGAAAACAAAAGCGATTTGCCTTTCTGTATTTATTTCTTGGTGTAATTAGTTTCATGGACAGAACGACAGTTTCAAACCACTGAATCAATGGTCAACTAACTATAGTTTGGCATGAAATGCATGTGGACCCGGTTTTTGTAAATATCTCTTCATCCAGAGACCATATAATAGATATTATTATTATCTGGTCTCTGCTTCATCCAATGATCCAATCGATCTCAAACTGTGCAAGTGGATGTTTTGTCAGACAACCTAATCACATTGTAAATCACCGATTTTATGCATTTGTATTAAAGAATCCGTCTATGTAACTGTCAACAAAATAAACAGCAGAACGCAGAACTGGCTTGCAGAGGAGAGGGAGCCAATGACCTGTAACAGCGGCAGTGTTGGGTCATAAAGGTAAATGCACGTGCAGTTCATGATAGTTACCTGTGCACTGCACAGTGATAGACCGATTGATCATTTACATTGACTACTTCTAGCTGTCACCATGAAAGCTTATTCAGATGATGCTAAACGTTTAATTAGAAATGTAATGTTGCTCTTGGCATGAAAAGAACATCGTGCTAAAATTGTGAAAAATAAACCAACAACCAATAATTAAAACCTTGTACAAAAAAGGTAGGCATCCAAAGTTAGATTCTTTTGACATCAGGGTCATCAGCATAGCTGACCTACATTGACGAACGTTGACCTTTATGACTCAACACCGCTGCCGCTGTTACAGGTCATTGGCTCCCCTCCCTCTGCAAGCCGTCTGCGTTCTTGCTGTTTATTTTGTTGACAGTTACATAGACAGATTCTTTAATACAAATGCATAAAATCGGTGATTTACAATGTGATTAGGTTGTCTGACAAAACATCCACTCTGCACAGTTTGAGATCGATTGGGTCATTGGATGAAGAGATATTTACAAAAAACGGGTCCACATGCATTTCATGCCAAACTATAGTAAGACGTGACTCGCAAATGCTTGAATAGTTATTTCATTCGTGTGTGAATTATTTCAACTAATTTTACGAAACGTTTTTGGAAGTGAGCGTCACCTGTTTCGTAAGAGTGAGTGAGTGACTTTAGTTTTACGCCGCTTTTAACAATATTCCAGCAGTATCACAGCGGGGACACCAGAAATGGGCTTCACACATTGTACTCGTGTGGGGAATCGAACCCGGGTCTTCGGCGTGACGAGCGAACACTTTAACCACTAGGCTACCCCCACCGCCCCTGTTTCTTGAGAACAGGACACACACATGTATGTAACAATCGCTATCATTCACTCTATACACTATCTGTAATGGAGAAACTCCGTTTTCCATCTTCCATAGCGTGTCGAGAAATTAATTACTATTGCCAACATAAAGAAGATTGGCGTGGTGACGTCATAAACAATAATTGATTGCTTGAGTCAAAAGAAACTCACTCACATTCTTTCTTCAGGGCACTATAAAAGAACAAGAGATGGTAAGATGGTTAAATTGTTATTATTTCATTGCTGAGATCTGTGTGGATGTACTCGATACACTGACAGTGCCATAATCAGTTCCATTAGGCTACACCGCCGTTCCAAAACATGGGTATACAGAATGTCAAGTCACAAGAATAAAAATGCGAAATTTCTCAGTTCAATATCGTGTATGGCCGCCCCGCGCATTCACCACTGCCAAACACCGTCTCCTCATCGACTGCCTGATGCTTGTGAACACGTGGTTGGGGATTCTGCGCCATTGTTTTGCAAGGCAGCGCCAAGTTCCTGCAAATTCTGAGGTTGGTTCCTAAGACCACGAAGCCTTCTCCCAAGTGCATCCCAAACGTGCTCTATTGGATTAAGGTCAGGGGACCTCGATGGCCAGTCCATGACGTTGATTCCAGCGTTTTGAAGGAAATTTCGTGTCAACATCGCGGTATGCGGCCGAGCATTATCATGCTGGAACTGTAGACCTGGGCCATGAGCCGCCATGAAAGGAACGAGTTCAGGGTGAGCACCTGGTCGCGGTAAGCAGCAGCTGTGAGGTTTCCACGGATGACCAGAAGTCGGGAACGGTTGTTCCCACAGAAAGCACCCCACACCATGCAACTTCCGCCCCCGAATCTGTCGACTTCCTGTACACAACATTGGGCATACCGTTCACGACGTCGTCTCCAGACTCTATGCCTGCCGTCCGCGAATCTGAGGGTAAACCTGATTCATCGCTAAAGACGACTCGATTCCAGTCTCTCTGGGTCCATCGGAGGTGACGTTGGGCCCACAGCAGACGCTGACGTTGATGAAACGGCGTCAATATTGGCCCACGATATGGACGTCGAGAATGGAGATTGGCAGCCCGCAACCGATTTCGAATGGTCTGTGAGGACAGTCGACCTCTAAACATCTCAGCCCTGGTTCGTGTAGCCGGCAGAAATCTGTCACGTAGGTGACGTAGGACGATTTGACGGTCTTCTGCTCGTGACGTCACACGTGGACGACCCGACCTTGGGCGATCAGAAGTGGTGCCAGTTTGTTGTAGACGACCTCGCAAGTCATACACAGTACGACGGCTGCATCCCATTGCTCTTTGCGACGTCAATAACTGATCTTCCTGCTTGCAACATGCCAACGGCACGTTCACGCTGCACATTTGACAATCGTGGCATTTCAAGTACCGTTAGAACTGTGGTTTAAAAGTGTTTTTCAATTTTGAGGCCAATGCAAACACGTGCATATGAAGAAAACTTCGATGCGAAGATCACGTGATCGACTGCACGTGCAAAACCTGATTTGGCACTAACGTCATTTGCACCGACGAATGGATGGGTTTGAGTGGGTTTTGCTAACGTTTTTCTAGAGTCGAAAGATAGGGATCCCATTTCATCAGGATACATAGATGTATCATCAGAGAAAAAAATTATTCATTATTTTCAAATTACATTTTGTGAAGTTTCTTTTCCAACACCGAGATGACTCAGTATATCCAAAGGAATCTTTTGCCACGAACTGATGGACCAGATGGGGAGCCATATCCTTTCCTACAAGATCTTTCTTGGTGGGGAGTAACACAACAAAACGCTACATCAACTAGATTCTCCAACGTCACCTTCTTCCGGATTATTCCGGCAGAGGGTATTGTTTGAACATGACAACGCTTAAATCACACACGAATATGAAATATGCAAATGTTTTAGAACACACTGAAACTGTCAAAGTTTGCTTATGCGTTTCTTCTTTCTCGAAGCATTTTCTATTTTGTATTTCGCTTCAAAAAGAATCTGTTTCTGCAGAGAATGGTTGATGTCTGGCGTTGACGTTTGGTATTCCCATTTATAATGTTTGAACAGTGATAGGGACAGTAGCTCCAGAGCTGGCACACAACCAGGCTGTCTACAGATACGATGATCCATTCAGCAAGCCTCACCCGATCCATTAGTCACTTGTTGAAATTGTTGAAGACCAATTCTTACCTGATCCATTCAGTCACCTCCATGACCAGCATAAATTGTTGATTCCCCTATGATCCATTCAATCACCTCACGACCAGCATAAATTGTTGATTCCTGATCCATTCAGTCACCTCACGACCAGCATAAATTGTTGATTCCTGATCCATTCAGTCACCTCACGACCAGCATAAATTGTTGATTCCTGATCCATTCAGTCACCTCACGACCAGCATAAATTGTTGATTCCTGATCCATTCAGTCACCTCACGACCAGCATAAATTGTTGATTCCTGATCCATTCAGTCACCTCACGACCAGCATAAAATTGTTGATTCCTGATCCATTCAGTCACCTCCGACCAGCATAAATTGTTGATTCCCTGATCCATTCAGTCACCTCACCCGACCAGCATAAATTGTTGATTCCTGATCCATTCAGTCACCTTCACGACCAGCATAAATTGTTGATTCCCTGATCCATTCAGTCACCTCACGACCAGCATAAATTGTTGATTCCCTGATCCATTCAGTCACCTCACGACCAGCATAAATTGTTGATTCCCTGATCCATTCAGTCACCTCACGACCAGCATAAATTGTTGATTCCCTGATCCATTCAGTCACCTCACGACCAGCATAAATTGTTGATTCCCTGATCCATTCAGTCACCTCACGACCAGCATGAATTGTTGATTCCCTGATCCATTCAATCACCTCACGACCAGCATAAATTGTTGATTCCCTGATCCATTCAGTCACCTCACGACCAGCATAAATTGTTGATTCCCTGATCCATTCAATCACCTCACGACCAGCATAAATTGTTGATTCCCTGATCCATTCAATCACCTCCTGACCAGCATAAATTGTTGATTCCCTGATCCATTCAGTCACCTCACGACCAGCATAAATTGTTGATTCCCTGATCCATTCAGTCACCTCGACCAGCATAAATTGTTGATTCCCTGATTCATCTCACGACCAGCATAAACTGTTGATTCCCTGATCCATTCAATCACCTCACCTGACCAGCATAAATTGTTGATTCCCTGATCCATTCAGTCACCTCCTGACCAGCATAAATTGTTGATTCCCTGATCCATTCAGTCACCTCACGACCAGCATAAATTGTTGATTCCCTGATCCATTCAATCACCTCCCGACCAGCATAAATTGTTGATTCCCTGATCCATTCAGTCACCTCCACGACCAGCATGTTGATTCCTGATCCATTCAGTCACCTCACGACCAGCATAAATTGTTGATTCCCTGATCCATTCAGTCACCTCACGACCAGCATAAATTGTTGATTCCCTGATCCATTCAGTCACCTCACGACCAGCATAAATTGTTGATTCCCTGATCCATTCAGTCACCTCACCTCATTCCTGACCATTCAGTCAGCATAAAGCATAAATTGTTGATTCCCTGATCCATTCAATCACCTCACGACCAGCATAAATTGTTGATTCCCTGATCCATTCAATCACCTCACGACCAGCATAAATTGTTGATTCCCTGATCCATTCAGTCACCTCACGACCAGCATAAATTGTTGATTCCCTGATCCATTCAGTCACCTCGACCAGCATAAATTGTTGATTCCCTGATCCATTCAGTCACCTCACGACCAGCATAAATTGTTGATTCCCTGATCCATTCAGTCACCTCACGACCAGCATAAATTGTTGATTCCCTGATCCATTCAATCACCTCCTGACCAGCATAAATTGTTGATTCCCTGATCCATTCAATCACCTCACACCAGCATCCCCTGACCAGCATAAATTGTTGATTCCTGATCCATTCAATCACCAGCATAAATTGTTGATTCATCGACCAGCATAAATTGTTGATTCCTGATCCATTCAGTCACCTCACGACCAGCATAAATTGTTGATTCCTGATCCATTCAGTCACCTCACGACCAGCATAAATTGTTGATTCCTGATCCATTCAATCACCTCACGACCAGCATAAATTGTTGATTCCTGATCCATTCAGTCACCTCACGACCAGCATAAATTGTTGATTCCTGATCCATTCAGTCACCTCCCGACCAGCATAAATTGTTGATTCCTGATCCATTCAATCACCTCACCAGCATACCAGCATCACCTCAATTCAGCATAAATTGTTGATTCCTGATCCATTCAGTCACCTCACGACCAGCATAAATTGTTGATTCCTGATCCATTCAGTCACCTCCCAGCATAAATTGACCAGCATAAATTGTTGATTCCTGATCCATTCAATCACCTCACGACCAGCATAAATTGTTGATTCCCTGATCCATTCAGTCACCTCCCGACCAGCATAAATTGTTGATTCCCTGATCCATTCAGTCACCTCACGACCAGCATAAATTGTTGATTCCCTGATCCATTCAATCACCTCACGACCAGCATAAATTGTTGATTCCCTGATCCATTCAGTCACCTCACGACCAGCATAAACTGTTGATTCCCTGATCCATTCAGTCACCTCACGACCAGCATAAATTGTTGATTCCCTGATCCATTCAGTCACCTCACGACCAGCATAAATTGTTGATTCCCTGATCCATTCAGTCACCTCCCGACCAGCATAAATTGTTGATTCCCTGATCCATTCAGTCACCTCACGACCAGCATAAATTGTTGATTCCCTGATCCATTCAGTCACCTCCTGACCAGCATAAATTGTTGATTCCCTGATCCATTCAATCACCTCCCGACCAGCATAAATTGTTGATTCCCTGATCCATTCAGTCACCTCACGACCAGCATAAATTGTTGATTCCCTGATCCATTCAGTCACCTCACGACCAGCATAAATTGTTGATTCCCTGATCCATTCAGTCACCTCACGACCAGCATAAATTGTTGATTCCCTGATCCATTCAATCACCTCCACCTCACCAGCATAAATTGTTGATTCCTGATCCATTCAGTCACCTCACGACCAGCATAAACTGTTGATTCCCTGATCCATTCAATCACCTCACGACCAGCATAAATTGTTGATTCCCTGATCCATTCAGTCACCTCACGACCAGCATAAACTGTTGATTCCCTGATCCATTCAGTCACCTCCCGACCAGCATAAACTGTTGATTCCCTGATCCATTCAGTCACCTCACGACCAGCATAAATTGTTGATTCCCTGATCCATTCAATCACCTCACGACCAGCATAAATTGTTGATTCCCTGATCCATTCAATCACCTCCCGACCAGCATGAATTGTTGATTCCCTGATCCATTCAGTCACCTCACGACCAGCATAAATTGTTGATTCCCTGATCCATTCAATCACCTCCGACCAGCATAAATTGTTGATTCCCTGATCCATTCAATCACCTCACGACCAGCATAAATTGTTGATTCCCTGGTCCATTCAGTCACCTCCCGACCAGCATAAATTGTTGATTCCACCTGACCAGCATTCATTGTTGATTCCCTGATCCATTCAGTCACCTTGGGGCAGATTCTAACCAGCTATCAGGTACTCTTAGTGGGAAGTCCTGCAGATTGAGCAATCACACTCTTTGACTGTACAGATGTTTGAGTTGACTAAACTTTGGACTTGGCATCAACAATAAATTGTTTCCTTGTTGTTGGAAAAAACCCAAAGAAACTCAAACTAAAGTGATATAGTAGATTTAATTCCTTACAAAACAGTGCAAGTTATCAAGAATCACATATTGCTTGACATGTGGTGACACACACATCATGCATGGCATCTACACCTGTTATAACATCATATTATAACAAAATAATAACATGCTCATCATAAATTATTGACGTAAAGAAATACTGAAACATCATAACAGGATATGCTGGAAATAAAATTATTAAATTCAACTGAGATATGTACATATATATAATTCAAGTAGCAAAGTTTCACAAAAGAACTTTAAACTTCTCATTTGTCTCATACCAAAGAATGTGATAAGACTAAATATAAAGTCACCAGTTGGTGATGTTTAAAAATATACCACCTAAACATAAACTTATTTGGCTTTCCAAATGTAAATTTAATATATACTATTACCTTTATAAAGACAAAAAGTTGTTTGTATTTTAAAGTCGCAACCCATTGGTAACTCTAAACGAATAATTCACAAACTTAGTGAAAGAACATAGAATCTGTATTAACATTTTGAAAGCACAACAAATATTCACTGACATCATGGCAAGTGTTATACCATATTTTAATGAATGATTCCAATGGAACATGTCTCTATAAGTGGGTGTAAACATACATATAGAACTTCCCATCCTCACACACTTACTGAAAATATTTACTGCTGACATGCATGACGACAGAGGTAAAATCACACAAGTCTACTGTGTAGACTGTAAATAAACCCCGACTCTAGACCAGCATGCACACAAATCAAAGAAGAATCTTGGAAGCAGATGCACATGTCAAACTCGACATCTTTATTCATAACCCTAGTGAATGTCAACCATATTCATATCAACAGGCAAGACATGTCACAGTAAATGAATGTTTCCAAAGAGAAAACAGTAGAAAAATAGTAAAAGTCTCAAAACATCTTTGACCATAAAAATATGAACTGGTAGATGCAAGTGGTTTCATGTTGAGATATTACAATATGGAAAGACAAACAGTCTGTGCAGCTAAGAATATGATACACATAGTTTACATGGCAAGAATGTTGTAAATGTGATGTCAAGTGACAAAATGATCGTATCTTATTCCATGTGAGAGAATATAATTAAATAATTTCATCCATGTCACAACAGCCATTTACTCTTAAGGTTTGTCAGTCAGATATTTCATCACCTCACAAGTAGCAACTGAAATTATTTCCCTCTGGCCTCCTGAAAAAAGCAGAGCTGTTCTGTCGTGGAAAGTAGTTAGCATCCAGGTATTGCATATACATTCTTGTAGGGGCCTTTGTTCAAAACATGAACAGAGTCGGTGAATTATTAGCAATGGACTACATTCACAGTCATCCTTTTCACTTAATAATATACCAAAACTAGCAAAATAAAGTAAGATTGATGCTATGTTTTCATGTATATTTCTAGTTGAGTAACTTGTTCATACCAAAATACAAAATACACATGTACAATACTGTATAATTACTCTCACAAGACAAAATGGGACCCAGTAATACAAAGTTTCAATGGCAGGGCAAAGGGTCAAAAGCACTACCAAACTAAAACATAACGAAATCATACAAATATACTGATTCTAAATAAATGAGCTTTACATATTAAAAAGCCACTGAATTGACACTGCACTCAGGTCAGTCTGGTAAATACATTGAACAATTTCATTTGAAGTCATATTGTCTGACTTTCTGATAGTAACTTCAGACTTGAATACTGAGAAAGTGTAATCCCAATGTGTTAATCTCTACACTTCTTTCCCATTTTTGAAAACAAACCACTTAAGAAAGTGACCAAAATATACTGTCAAAAAAATATCTCTACACTGTTTCACGATGTCTTCAAATTTCCTTGACTCCTTCTCAGTTCAATTACTGACCTCCTTGTCAGTATTTGAACCCTTTGAGATATTTACTGACCTCTACATTACTGTAGGACACTCTGGTTACTAAGTGGTGAACAATGTTAGTTTCACTTCTTCACCTCCATACTCCTTAATATTAGGGCTTCCACGGGTACTCGAGTACTCAAGGACAAGTCGGGTTTAGCTGGACTCGAGTCCATTTTCTAGGACTCGAGGACTCGAAAAGGGAGATAACTCGAATTATTGGATTACAACGGCAGACTGTCTGTCTGCCATGTGATAAGCATGAGCGCCGTTAAACGTCTAATATTAAGATAAGATATAAATATATTACCCCAGAGGAAATTCTTATACATCCAGATTAAGTAGTTTACTCCTCATAAGTTGTGGCTGTATGGTATTAGTTGTTACAAGTCTGCAGATGAGAGTAAATATTATACATCGTTTGAGATTTCACTTCTTAAAATGATTAGGTAACTATCTTAACAGACATGGAGAACGATAAAAAATCAAATGTATGGGTGTGTCTTGATCTGGATAGTGAAAAGAGAAAAATAACCAAATGCCGCCTGTGCGGTATATTACTGCGTTATGCAGGCAGTGCAACCAGTACGATGAAAAAAACAACATTTGGCAAGTAAACATGCAAATACGGATTCTGACCAATAGGAAATGTTAGTCACACAACGATATGAAGTCGGAATGAAGTAAGTGTTTACTTGTGTGATCGAACACATGTCATGCCAGTTACGCTATTGTTTGTTTGAAAGGTATGAATTTCGAGTACTCGGGTCCGAGTCGAGTCTCACCCCTTGAGTACTCGAGTCCAAGAAAATGGACTCGTTGAAGCCCTACTTAATATTTCACTTCCTAACCTCAGGTCACTTTTTGACCTCCTCATTACAATTTGTAGTCATTTCTTTACCTGATTGTCACTATCTCATCTCTTACTTATTAACATTTATCTGTGTTGCTAACTGACCTCTGTGTTACTACTTGACCTCTGTCAGACAGACAATTTTGTAATTTCACCTAATGGCCCATAATACAGTTACATAATATAAGGTATAGATGGACAGTGGTCATTCACACTTACTAGCTTTATATCTGAAACCTCTGTGTTACTACTTGACCTGTTACTACTTGACCTCTATTATTTATTGACCTCTGTGTTACTACTTGGTCTTTTACTACTTGACCTCTATTATTTATTGACCTCTGTGTTACTACTTGGTCTTTTACTACTTGACCTCTATTATTTATTGACCTCTGTGTTACTTGGTCTGTTACTACTTGACCTCTATTGCAACTTGACCTCTGTTACTATTTGACCTCTATTACTTATTGACCTCTGTGTTCCTACCTGACCTCTGTGTTCCCTTCGACCACTATCTCTCTACTTGACCTGATGTACCAGTGTCCACTCAGCTTGTCAAACCTAACCTCCCAGTCACTTATACATTAAGTCCCTCTCATTAAACATTTATACTTTTGATTACAACATCAAAATCTGCTAAATAAATATTACCTGATAATGCATATCCTGATGTTTCATTCTCTACAATACCTTCCATTTAAAAGAGTACATTGTTGTAAGCTGCTGTACATTCTTCAATACTGATAGAAAACATGAGGATTGTCCTGAAATAAACACAATGATCATCACCAAGGAAATTGTAAACTCCTACCGTCATCACTCATAGTGATAATTGAAACAAACAATATTATGCATCTACTTACAAATACAACATTGACTTACAAAACTTTTACACAATAATACTTTTAAAAACAGAATAATTGTTCTACAATTATATCTTTATAATGTCCGGGAACTTATTTTTAATATTGCTAAGTTTAAAGAATTGCTCAATGTATAAAATCTTCAGATAAATCATTTTGGAAGGTAAGTAACTCTTTCACTCATGCGCCACATTTCTTTCATTTCATTTCTTTAAAAGGGAAATACTTTTACAGATACTCTAAAAGATGCATTTTTGAAATTTCTTTTATATTTTGATCATTAACGCTTTGATCACTCTAAATAGATGCATTTTTAATATTTGTTTATATTTTGATCACCAGTGTTTTCAAATATGAAATAGAACTATGAATCATGTAGATATGAATTTACAATATTCCTGATCTGTGAAACTCTGTGGAACCTGTGTGGCAATACATGACATATTCTCTTTGAGCTTCGCCATGAGAAAATACCACACACTATACCAAACTCCGACTTGCAGTTTGGATATATAGAAATGATTGTCTTATATGGACAAAACAGTAATAGATTATGTCAGATGGACAGAAAGTATTCAAGTTTAGATTCAGATCTACATGACAAGTTTAAGGCACATATGAACATATACTGGTTTGGACATAACACTGATGAGACATGCACATTTACTCTCAAAAACTTATCCTGAGAAAGTCGTGAAAGTAGAGGATATGCTGAAAATATTTAAAATATTATGGGTATGTACAATTATGTAAATGTCATAAAACCTAAAATGTTCAAATTGCACGCTGCCTCTGTGAGCTCACTAACTCCAGTCTGTGGCCGGGTAGCCTTTGTAGAGACCATTGAAGAGAACGGCAAACGCCACCAGCAGCAGGAACACGGCCATTGTGACCCAGCCGAGAGTTGTCTCCCAGGGCAGCTTCTTGATGTTCTTCAAGACGGGATACCCAGCAACAGACCTGCAGATAGAGAGGAACATCAGCAGAATGTCCTGTAGAGAGACTGGACATGACTTGACCACTGAACACCTTCCATGCCAGTCCTTGCTACTGAACACACTCAGATCAGGATCACACTCTATGACCACATTACTGAACACCCCCTTCACCGTCCATCACCCTCTGTAGCCAGTCAGCTCGACTGACCAGTTTGGCCACCTGTCCATTCTGTCACCATCTCGATCACCTGTCACGATGTTAACCACCTATCACAACTTTGACCAACTTACACCTCCAGCAAGCAGCTGGACCACCTCACACTTCCAGTAAGCAGCTAGACCACCTCACACCTCCAGCAAGCAGCTGGACCACCTAACACCTCCAGAAAGCAGCTGGACAACATGTCACCTCTGTGACCAGTGTGACCACCTCTAACCTCCTGCCACTATTTTGACCATCAATCACCCCTGTCACCATCTCGACCACCTGTGACCATCTTGACCACCTGTCACCATCTTGACCACCTGTCACCATCTCGACCACATGTCACCATCTTGACCACCCATCATCCCTGTCACCATCTTGACCACCCATCATCCCTGTCACCATCTTGACCACCCATCATCCCTGTCACCATCTTGACCACCTGTCACCATCTTGACCACCTGTCACCATCTTGACCACCCATCATCCCTGTCACCATCTTGACCACCTGTCACCATCTTGACCACCTGTCACCATCTTGACCACCCATCATCCCTGTCACCATCTTGACCACACATCATCCCTGTCACCATCTCGACCACCTGTAACCTTGTCACCATCTTCACCACCTGTCATCATGTCGACCACCTGTCTCACTCTGTCATCATGTCGACCATCTATGTCCTTCTGCACTCACCTGTCAGGAACCCTCCAATATGAGCGGACACACCAACTTTCTGGTCCTCTGGTGCCGTGACTCGTCTGTAGATTGCGAGACTGGTATCTGGCACAACTACAAACAAACATTTGGATGAAAGGAGGCAATCTTTACAAGTTCTGATTTGCTGTCTTTAACCAACATGATTTCAAAGACTAACAAGACTGGTAAATTACAGTATACAGCTGTGCTTATGGTCTGCTGGACATGTTGGTAATATTTGAAACGTGAAAATGTTAAAAGCATCTTTTTTCTTTTTTTTTATACTGGGTGACTCACCGAGGGTCAAGATGATGAAGAGTCTGACGGGAGCACTCAGTAGCACACGGGCTATGTTCCCCTCACAGCACTTGTAGTTCATCTCCTTCCAGTTCTGTAACAGAGACCATGTCATATTGGTACCATCAAAAGACCATGTCATTACATTGAGCATATCATCACAGGCACCATGTCATTACATTGAGCATATCATCACAGGCACCTTGTCATTACATTGAGCATATCATCACAGACACCATGTCATTACATTGAGCATATCATCACAGACACCATGTCATTACATTGAGCATATCATCACAGACACCATGTCATTACATTGAGCATATCATCACAGACACCATGTCATTACATTGAGCATATCATCACGGACACCTTGTCATTACATTGAGCATATCATCATAGACACCAAGTTACATTGAGCATATAATCAAAGATACCTTGTCATTACATTGAGCATATCATCAAAGTTACCATGTCATTACATTGAGCATATCATCAAAGATACCTTGTCATTACATTGAGCATATCATCAAAGATACCATGTCATTACATTGAGCATATCATCACATGACACCATGTCATTATGGTACCGTCAAGCAGACCATGCAATGTGAGGAGACGTACCGTTGCTACGGCAGCTAGATGAGCCCCCAGTAGGGCATACACTCCTCCACTAGCTCCGACAAGTGCCACGGAATGGTCTGTCACCGAGTGAGCCAATGAACCTGGATAACAGAGGTCATGTGTCACACCTTGCCAAACAATAAACAGAATATATACACTTGCATAGCGTCAGGAGGTACAGATACTTCTGGTACTATTGCTTTACATGAATTCCCATCATCCCTTAGATCAACCATTGATCCATTCGTCACCACTCGCACCTTTCTGTAACCTCCAAGAAGACTCGTCTTCCTCTCGATGCTTCTTATGTGCAAAAATACAACAAATCAATCAGAATGCAAGTAATTACTGTGGGGCTTTGATAAAAATAATCCCTAGTACTTTAATCGTTTATGGCATTATGTGTTTGTTTAAAAAATCATGAAAAATATACATCGTCACATTGAAAGTACAAAGACCGCATCATACCAAAAGATGTTAAAATATGGTACTTGTTGGTCCCTGCCTGGCTCTCGGCATTAATGGGTACAACAAGGACTGGTCAGCTCGGAGTCAGTATAATGTGTCTGAGTGGGGTATTCATGCTTCACTGCGGCATGGTATCTCAGTGGGCTAGCACTATAAAACCAGCTTCAGTCTGGGCTAGTACAAGCAGCCGCTCATACATATACCCACGCATGCACGTCGTCATATGAGTGAAATATTTTCAAGCACGACGTTAAACCCAATTTCACCTCACAAAGAACGTAGCTAAAAGAACTGTGTTGCCTCGTGTAGATTTTAGTAAGGATTATGCCATGGACGGGTGACAAATTCAAATACATGCACATGCGTTTGTTTACATGGGTCCAATCGTGTGTATTTCTGATGATCTTGCGTGCTTGTTTTGGAGATTGTACGTGTGCTTCCAACATTTTTAGGAAATGTAATTATATATTGCTACGAGTTTCAAACCAATAATGTTACTATATGTAACTTATCAACTTTAATCTTTAACATTGGGCTTATATTTCACATCTCTGGGAATATTTTAGTCTGACTTTGTTTTGGTCATTCATATTTTTTTTAGAGCGAATTCATTTAAAATTCCTCCAGGGGTAATTTTGACAGCAAGGTTACATGAATGTTCAGTTTGAGAAATATTTTAAAGTAATTTTTAGGTATCTGCTTTGGGATTTAATGTAGCTGAAAAAAAGATGATCATGTTTGCATATTCAATAAAACAATTCCACTTTGTGATTATTAAAGCCTAGTTAGAAATATAATTGGAAATATAAGGTGAACAGCTGGTAATAATAACGTAAGAATATGTCTTTAACAAATATATCTTTCTCCTTCTTCAAGTTGTATCCAAGATGTTTAATTCTTTAAAATATAAGTAAAAACAAAAACACCAATACAGTGTACGAGTACATCGGTAATATTAAGTACCATTGGAATCAAACAGGGATAGAGTTATCATTCTTGTTTAAAGTAGTTCTGATGTTCATGCGTCAATATGAAATCCTTCCAGAGGGGCACGAGTCGCTATTTGGCTTGACACGGAATAACACGAGTTGGTCACGAATGCCATTCATCAAGTCAAAACTATCAAGTTTAAGCCATAAAGGGAGACAACCCACTAAACAAGTATCATTTTTTCAGAAACCAATCTCAGCTGTATATAAATGCCTTTGATCCATAGAGAAGGATTTTATGGGGATTAAAATGCCAATCATAGCTTGCAATAGTTAGTGATACACATTTGTTGTGTCGTGAAATAAATGGATGTATAATGATATCCGGTTACATGCAAGGTAACGTGTACTGATTGAAGTTGGTGGGCGTGTTTCGTGTAATGCAATACCCTGTGCTGCTAAACCTGTCAATGTGTACTGCAAATAATCAAATGATTTGAAGGATGGTAAAGCTTGGTAAATATTGCCACAAGCAAGTAGGAACTGTTTCCATCAGCATTGAACCAGTAATTATAATTTTTCGAGTACACCCTTTATAGTTTGCGAGTACACCTACCTGCTATTACTCCACACAAGTACACCACCATGACTCTCCACCACTTGTGTACAATCTCTAGAGGCAGACCAAACAACAGCTGGAAGATCATGTTGGATAGTATATGTAGAAATCTGGAACAAAAGGCCTGATCTTAGATTCTAAACAATATCAGTAATGCCAGCACCCCAGATTGTTTATACAACCAAATCTTACAATGATTGCGATTACATTGTGCTAGATGCCCAGATTGTTTACATTGATTGCTAGAAGCTAGAAGCCCAGATTGTTTATACAACCAAATCTTACAATGATTGCGATTACATTGTGCTAGAAGCTCAGATTGTTTATACAACCAAATCTTACAATGATTGCGATTACATTGTGCTAGAAGCTCAGATTGTTTATACAACCAAATCTTACATTGATTATGATTACATTGTGCCTGAAGCTCAGATTGTTTATACAACCAAATCTTACAATGATTGCGATTACATTGTGCCAGATGCTCAGATTGTTTATACAACTAAATTTTACACTGACATTCAAGGTGACCCCAGAAAAGGCCCTTTCAACATAAAATTACAAATTTCAACATTAGCGTTGCTTCATTATGTAATTATGTGCTTAGAGAATGCTTAAGATGCTATATTAAAGTGGAAACATGTAAAAAGAATTCTCATGTATGGGAATTCAGAAATAGTTTGTTGTTGTGAGTGAGTGAGTTTGGTTTTATGCCACACTCAGCAATATTCCAGCTATATGACGGTGGTCTGTAAATAATCGAGTCTGGACCAGACAATCCAGTGATCAACAGCATGAGCATTGATCCAAGCAACTGGGATCCGATGACATATGTCAGCGAAGTCAGCAAGCCTGACCCCCCGATCCTGTTAGTCGCCTCTTACGACAAGCATGGGTTACTGAAGACCAATTCTAACCCGGATCTTCTTACCCTTGATGTATGAACATATACGTGAGGTATCGCCAGGCCTCGTATCTGCGTCTCGGCGTGTACACAAGGGGGCTGTACATGGGCACTCCACTTGTGGCTGTCACAGGTGTACCTTGCTTGGCCAGCTCAGCAGCGTAAACACCAAATATCACTATCTGTAACAGAAGCCAGAGAAGCTGAAGAGTTATCTCCCTTTGATCAGAATTTGAACTGCGATAACTGTCTGCAGATGTTGCATGATTTTAGCAAGCATACTGTGGATAAAAATTCATGATTGCAGATGGAATATGTGGTATTACTGACTGAGGTTCTAGTTTATTGTGTCGCTGATGCTATGCTGTCTGGAACTGCAGTATTTGCAGTAGGGAAGACAGACTAGGATTACATTTTCTCAGTAAAGTACATATTCTAGTACTTTTGTTGGGTTGAGTCCCATCCAGGGTTCAAACCCACACCAACAGAGTCAGGCACCTAATCGCCAGCACACACACAAAAATGTCAGCGATCTAACCATCACTGGGCTTCACATTGTACCCATGTGGGGATTCAACTGCAACTTCCACAAAAATGGAAGTTGGACAACTGGTTGGCTAGACCACAGACTTTTTGTACCCCTCTGATGAATGTAAATTGGCTCACACGCCTGATTAGGTGCCTGACTCTGACATAGGGAAGGATTGATAGACCAATGTTATATTCACAATGATAATAGTCATATCATCTCACTGAGCTGAAGTGATTCAAATATTACAAGCACGTATGTAATAAAACTTGGTCACTGAGATTGATGCTCCACTACATATTTCATGTCGTCTTGACCAAGTCTGGTACAATGATACAACTGTATAATCATCACACACATTTGTAACATATGTATGTCAGGCCAACAGAGGCTCCCTAAACATAGCAGTGTCAACATTACTAGTTGTAGGTTTGCAGTATATACTAAGGGGGATCACTCTCATCGGACTTCCTGTTAAAGGCCATGTGCTCACAGAACCAGCCACTGTTCACATAAGAGATCCTATTAAAGCTTTCTAACCCGAAGCTTAACTTTGTAAATTCTTTATAACATTCAGACAAACCAGGCTTTAATCAGTCCTGGATTAATCAGAAACAGACAGAAACAATCAGTCACAACTGCTGGACATTGTCACATAGAAATGGTCAGTAGTAGACACAAGCAGGTACAGACAGTCTCTATCTAAACAAAAGTTCATCCACCAATTGTGGCAGTGCCATATTTGTACATTCTATTTATTTGTGTAAATACGGTATTGTCTTTAACAGTTTGGCTGTGATAGTTTTATTGGATTAGTTTTTTATTAGAGTATGTATGGAATTGTTTCCAGCTTGATTGCCCCAAGCTGGACCTGGGCTCTATTGTTTTATTGTGGGGGAGCAGGGTGTTCTTTTGTTCTGCCTTCAGAGGGCAAGCTATTTCTTGATCTCTGATTGCTCAGTTTAATGTTGCCTGTTTTTCTTCACTAACATCAGCACATTTTAATTAGTCTACCACATACAGTCGTACAAGAAAGGTGCATTAAAACAGATTTCTTGACATTTTGATGGACGTCTGAGTTTTCCTTCAGCTCTACAACTACTCTCAAGGTTAGTTAACTTAATAATAAACATATTACGTAGGATCTAATATTTGTTTAAGTATAGTTATGTCATAAACATTTGCCTGCTGCCATCTTTGTCGGCCATGTTTTTATACTTATAATTGTGATACATGTAATGTTTGTGCCACTTTAAATCCTATATTATTTTAACAACTGTTTATTGTATATATTTTTAAGGACATCACAGCACAGATAATGTACACAGATATAATATATTATATTAATTATGCAGGTTTGTTTTATAGATGTATATGTTCATCTGTGCCACTATCATGATTATGCAATCACATGCATTTTCAGGATTGTTATGGCATTAGAGTGACAAGTTTTATTATGATAAGATATTAGAATAGTGAGTGAGTGAGTTTAGTTTTACACCAAAATCAGCAATATTGTAACTATATGGTGGAGGTCTGTAAATAATCGAGTCTGGACCAGACAATCCAGTGATCAACAGCATGAGCATCAATCTACGCAATTGGAAACCGATGACATGTGTCAACCAAGCCAGCGAGCCTGACCACCCGATCCCGTTAGTCGCCTCTTACGACAAGCATCGGTTACTGATGACCAATTCTAACCCGGACCTTCACGGGTAGTTATTAGAATAAGTTAGCAGAATATACTTATTGTTATGTTATCACTTATAGATGGAGACACTGCTTGTCTATCAGTAAAGGTAGACGATGCTCACTATCACCTGAGTAAGCTACATTTGGTAGGTATTTTACCCTTTTAATGTGTTTACATTTCACATATATTTATGCGACAAATATGTGTGGAGAGATTATCATTGTGATATTTTGCTGCTAATATATTTCATGTCTTAGTATAATATACATAATCCTTTTTGTGAACTGCATTTAGTTATTGCTTATATGTCTTATTGGAATTGATGCAGTTTAAGTAATATTTATCACATGGAGTATATGTGACAGATAAGTAATTATTGTCAGTAACTGTAACAGTTATGGGCAATGTCCTAGACTAGTATAGATGTGATATGATTGTTTGTTGATTGTTTTTCATTATGTTACAGGGTGAAAATAGAATCCATAGTTTGAGCAAAAAACGCAGGTCACAGCTCACACCCTAGCAGGCGGTGGTCTTCCTTCAAGAATACCAGGGGCGTTGGGGTAGCCTAGTGGTTAAAGTGTTGGCCCGTCACGCCCAAAACCCGGGTTCGAATCCCCACATGGGTACAATGTGTGAAGCCAATTTCTGGTGTCCCCCCCCGACGTGATGTTGCTGGAATATTGCTAACAGTGATGTAAAACCAAAGTCAGTCAGTCAGTCAAGAGTACCACCCCTTTACCCTGGTACACAATGACGATGTGACTCACTTCGGCAGTGCTCATGATGATGATGAAGAGTGGAGGTGGACGGCAGTTGTAGTTGGCGAGGAAGTCATTCCTCAAACTCTGTGGCACGATGTTGGCAATGGCTGCCCCAAGGAAGCTTCTGAAAGCTGATCTTTCTGACTTTGTCAGTCCCTCATCACTGGTCATCTGAAAAGATTGAACAATGACTGATAAACATCGGTGCTTCACCTTTAAACTCACAACAATACTTTACCAGGGTCTAGGTTGTGGAAACTGCACTGCAATCATAATGTAGTTGAAAATTTGCCTTTACTCAAATATTTGGTTTTAGATGGTGAATATGTCCGATTTAATGTAAAACAAATGATCATCTCATGTCATTCAGCTTGTGTCCAGCAAGTAGTCACGTAACACAGTGGAGGTGCCCTGAGCTGGACTGAAATAAGGAGTATTAGCTGCTAGTAGGGGTGAGCATATTCTCAAAGACTGTACAACTTACAAGATTGACAAACTCAGTGTAGGTGATCATGTTGTCATCGTTGTGGTCGGCTCGGTCCAGCAGCTGGTTCAGGCGCCGCTTGCTGATCTTGTCGGTGATGCCCTCTTCCTGCATCTCCCGCTGCAGCTCCCCCAGCGCCACACCCTCCGGCCCATGCTGCAACATCAACAACTACGGTAACAACGCTCCAAGGTTCTACAGTAACAACAAATATTCTAAGGTAGGGGTGAAATGGTATACTGCGGTATAGTAAAAGTGCAGTATTTTGCCTTCCGTTCCGTGATACCACAATGCAATCGAAATATTTGGTTTTCATACCATCATTTTATTTACCTTTTAAACCTTTTCTAAAATGTCTAGAAATCTAATTATTTTGTGAAAATCTTTGTATTTCTTTGCTAGATGGACGCTATTTTCCCGGAAGTAAGTTCTCCTATACCGAACCGAAATGGACTGAAATGATGCCCTTGTACTGCAATACATACCGTATTGTGGTAAGAGCGTACCGTTTCACCCCTGTGTTCAGGCTCTCTTGTAACAACAACCGTTCTGAGGCTCTCTGGTAACAACAACCATTCTGAGGCTCTCTGGTAACAACAACCGTTCTGAGGCTCTCTTGTAACAACAAACGTTCTGAGGCTCTCTGGTAACAACAAACGTTCTGAGACTCTCTGGTAACAACAACCGTTCTGAGGCTCTCTTGTAACAACAACCATTCTGAGGCTCTCTGGTAACAACAACAGTTCTGAGGCTCTCTGGTAACAACAACCATTCTGAGGCTCTCTGGTAACAACAACAGTTCTGAGGCTCTCTGGTAACAAAAACCGTTCTGAGGCTCTTGGTAACAACAACCATTCTGAGGCTCTCTGGTAACAACAACCATTCTGAGGCTCTCTGGTAACAACAACCTTTCTGAGGCTCTCTGGTAACAACAACCATTCTGAGGCTCTCTGGTAACAACAACCGTTCTGAGGCTCTTTGGTAACAACAACCATTCTGAGGCTCTTTGGTAACAACAACTGTAAGGCTGATCATGCGTCATCAAGAAGATGGGAGTAATGTGGGTCAGATGACACAGTCTGATCTGGTTGTGTTCACACTTAGTTGTGTCATATTCAGCTTTCATATGAGACCATGCAATTATTTTTTCTTGTGTTTTAATCATGCACTAGTCCCAAATAAAAAACACCAAAGATGCTCTTTTCAGTGTTGGTGACTTTTGCTCATATAAATTTATGTAACCATTTTAACACATTTTCTTTGATTTTTCTGAGATTTTCTTCAGACAAGGTACTTGAGGCATATTCTATTCCAAAGATAGAAAATTTCATGATAAATGTTCTAAAATCTGATGTGTCCACCATTCTGCACTATCCCAATCTCTGTCTATAGATAGAGTCTACAGCTGGCAACACATTGCAGGAAATACAAGCCGTGTTCCCAGTGCACATAACACGGACACAGCTGACGACCACCACCTATAATTACAACACCATATGTTTCTACACAGTTGTCAATGCTTGTACCAGAATGGGATGCAGAATTAAAAGGCTACATAATTCACTTGTGCTAAAAACACATTCAATTTTCTGATTCCAAATGTCAAAAACATTCAATTCCAAAAAGTATCTAAGAATTGGTTTACAACTTCAGAAAATTGAAGTTTATTGAATCTTTTGATATGTTACATTTGGCAGTGAAGTTTATTTATCATTATGAATAAATAAAAATTGCCTAGCCACCATCAAGACCCACAGACTATAAAATCTGCCGTCTGTGACTAACTCTTCAGGCCCTCTTTGAAAAAGACAAAAAGCAGCAGCATATTGTGATAAGACTGACATGTATATTTACTGGAGCCATGATTGAAACACAGACAGGCTTATTTTGAACACTGCCACCAAAAATAACAGCAATCATTATAAGAAGTCATCAATATTTCTGCGCACAAATATATTTCATTTTCTCTCAATGAAAGATACTTACTCTGTCAAATATCGGCTTGAAGTTCTGTTTGACAATATTCACCAATCAGAGACATCCGGAGTAGGTAAATCCAATGAGAATAATAAAATGCCCCCAAGCAGCAGCATCCAGATCATGTGACATCAGTATTATCCAATCAGAAGGCAGATGAATAAATTGTCACCAATCAGCAGCATTCAGATCATGTGACATCAGTATTATCCAATCAGAAGGCAGATGAATATATTGTCACCAATCAGCAGCATTCAGATCATGTGACATCAGTATTATCCAATGAGAAGGCAGATATTGTCATCAATCAGGATCAAGTGTAGGATATGAAAATGAAGAGAAAACATTTGTTAGCTTACATGTTGTACATTTCAAATAGTAGTTGATATTTTACCTCAACATGTTTTTATAAATCTGCATCAAAATCATTCATTTCCAACACACACAAAAATACATGTGTAGACTTCTGAAAACATTTACCAATTAATACTTTGTTTTGTACATTAATCCCTTGCCATAATGCAGGTCTTGGGGTCCATGGCTGACAACCCACGTTACAGTAACTTATACATTAACACGAAATAAAGGCCAAGTAAAATCTTATTTTTCATGGACATAACAAAACTGCTATTTCGTGTACTGTGCCCAGTCAAAACTATATCGTATCGTTGGAGGTGAAAAAAAACAAACTTGAAAATGAAAATAATGTACCACTAAATCTCATCTTCATGAAGTAAGAATTACCTGCCCCTGAAATGTATTGAAGAATAAGGTTCATGATGAACTGAACAATTTCATGGCAATAAAAAAAATGACTTTTAACATGCATAAATTTCAACACTGAAATAAAAACAGATGTCTAATTCCAAGAAACTAGTTTAACTAGACTTTGAGCTGCACCCATGTTTGTATGTAAATATTCTACCTACTTAGCCAGAGGATTGGTTATGTTCCATGTTTAGAAAGATGCTCTCACAACTGTTATCTCCAAAATGCCACACATAACAATGGTGCTGTTTCACCGCAGGAAGAGATCACCTCAACCACATTCCATACTGCATAATTGTTGCATATTAATAACTAATCACTATGTACTTGACCTGATTCCATCTGCCATGCATGAGAACTACTACAGATACTATAGTCATACAGTGTGAGCAACCTGAAGCTCCATCATATTACTCGTTTGGAAATAGAAAATATGATATTATACACACGAAGTTGAGATATAAGACTTGTCAGGTAAACTATGACCTGTATCGCTTCAACATGAAACATTCTGCTTCTTGTTACTGCTTGTGAAAATCTGCATCACTTCCTAATAGAATGTAAACTGTGTAGGATTCAATGAGAGACATTAATGTTAAATTTGAAAAGTATTGTAAAATGTAACTCCCAGTTCAACATTGTCAAAAATGTTACTTGCAGTGCTTCAGCCAGGATTTGCCTGGCTGAAGCACTGTACTAGGAAATCCAGGCATGACTATACAACAGAATGTGTACAAACTTTAATCTATCAGTCAAAACTTTCCTATACTTTCTCCCTGTTCCATCCTAAGATGTATAATATTCAAAATACATGTATGTAAATATTAGGGAGCGAGTATTCTAAGTTGGATAACTTATCCCCCAATGCCTTTCACATCTGTGAATATGTTTAAACCAAAATACTACAGTCAACTTCACTTCAAAATCACTGCAGGGTCTACATATATTATACAACTTACAATGTCTAATATCGGCTACAAAATATTTTTCAAAACAATACAAGCATCAATCAAAGGTTTGTTGGTTATTACAAATGTATCACAGAATGTTTTTGTTTGGGGTGTGATAAAGATGCAACCAACCACCCAATATATATTATGTGACCTCTCTGTATAGGTTGTTGGGACTCTCCCTGACTCCTGCTAAACATGCACAGTGTGATCATTGTCAGTGGGCTGCCATCACTATTAACTAAATGATCTTTATGTATCTTCAACAGTAAAATGACAGCTCAGGTTTTAATGGACACTAGAACTAGAAAATGTCCACCATTTCTGCATGGCTAGTTTGAATATCATATTCATGTTTTTGTTTGTTGTTTAACACCTCAGTCAGCAGGTCTGTAAAATCCAGTGATCAACAGCATGAGCATCGATTTACGCAACTTGGATACAATGTTAAACAAGTCAGTGAGCCTGACCACCTGATACTATTGATCGCCTCTTATGACAAGCATGGGTTGCTGAAGACCAATTCTAACCCTGATCTTGACTGGGTATTATATTCAACAACATGACATCAAATGTATAAACACTGATGATTATCAATTATGTTAATAGTAATTCATAAAATTTTGTGCTAAGTATAATGGAAAGTTTTGAATTCAGATTTTCTTTTTCTTTTGAGTTTTAAAATTTATGTTGCCTCATCGCTAGAGGAAGTGATGGTTGTAAGGTTGACCTGCAACGGCAGCTGCAACATACAACACATCCCGGATATTCCTGGCCGTGCCCCTCTACACACAGGTACAACATGTCTTGTTGAGCCACATACACCCTGAAGCTATAGATACCATCTGGATGTTTTAAGTGACCCCTTCAGACTTAATGTGTCAGTAGTTGCAGTAAAGTTTAAAGACAAAATTAACTACAAAATACAGGAGAATAATGAGCTTCGATTATTCACTGAAACAAATTCACTTTGCCCACAAACGACAAAAAAGCAGTCAGAGTATTTGAATGGATCACTGACAATTAATATTGCTATGTAATACTTGTGTTACAAATTGATATTAACATTCAATACTTGGAGAACAAAATGATATTGCTATGTAATACTTGGAGAACAAATTGTAATAATACTTGTATCACAAATTGATATTGCATGAATATATTTGCTATGTAATACTTGGAGAACAAATTGATATTGCTATGTAATACTTGTATCAAAAATTGATATTGCTATGTAATACTTGTAGAACAATTTGATATTATTATGTAATACTTGTAGAACAAATTGATATTGCTATGTAATACTTGTAGAACAAATTGATATTGCTATGTAATACTTGTAGAACAAATTGATATTGCTATGTAATACTTGTAGAACAAATTGATATTACTATGTAATACCTGCAGAACAAACTGATATTGCTATGTAATACTTGCAGAACAAACTGATATTGCTATGTAATACTTGTAGAACAAATTGATATTACTTTGAGATAATTGTATCAAGGATTGATATTGGTATGAATGCTTGTCAAACAAATTGAAATTGCTAAGAAATCCTTATATCATGAATTAATAATACCTTCATCACTAAATATATTCAATTTTGATTCTACACAAAATGAATATTAACACAACTTATTTCAAACCTTTGCACAACTGTCGTAACAGTCTAGAGTTATCTAATGTAGACCTGACCATGCTATTTTCCTACCACTGACAAATGCTTGATAACAGCCATCACTACACACAATCAGTGCATTCAAGCTGACAAAGGTTTCATTCAGACAGTTAACTGCACAAGTGTCTAAATACAATATCTCCTACACAGGCTATACTGTCAACAGTGTAATCTGAATCTGAGAAATTCAATACACAATTTTCTTGACAGTTTAAATATACTCATGAAAACGAATAAGGGAAAACATGAAAGTACGAGTGTTCCTTTATTTATTTCCAGATTTTCACCCACAGTGCAATATAAAGCATGACAAGAAACCCGGAAAAGAATACAGCAACACTTGCACTTTTGTGTGTTCCTTTATTCATTTCATGAGTATGGTAATTATTATAAAAAGATATATTTAATGCACAACACTGACATGATTATTAAGGTGGAAGAAAGGCCAAGACATTGGATGTTATCCCCCATAATATATGTTGAACATACACCCAACAAATTCAGCTGCCTTTCATTGGCTGAATTATTTCAGGATTACGGTACAGGTATAAGAAATGCCAAGAAATAGAGGTTATCCCGTAGGTTATGTTCAAACACTCGATAACTCGCAGGGCATATACACTTAGAGCGGAGAAACCTGTTTTCTGTTGACACCGATTAGCCCTGGGCCATAACGCCACAATTGTACAATGTTATCCCAGTGGGTGACGATGGGGTACATCATAAGCCGTGAGGCATGAACAAACTTCATCCCACTGTGAGAGGAGTGACACCTAGCTCATGATGAGGACGCGTGAGGATAAACTGAGGTGGCAGAAAAAGATGATGTGTTGACAGTCATTTAACATGTTTCATGTTTTAAAAATGGACTCCTTTGAGAGGTGAACAAACGTTTATAGTTAACATGTGCAACTGGGTTTGACGACTCTCTAGTTTTTAAATTTGAAGCATCTGCTTTTACACTTATTTGTAAAACTGTTTGAACTGTAAGCTGAACATTGAAATTTGAACTTATATAAAAAATTACATATTTTACATGCATCACAAAGGGATAACCATAATTGGAAATAAACACACACTTGGATAATATGAAAAGATGGCCTTAAAAATGTCTCTGTACAGAATTAAAAAATCGAAATCTAATTAATTTAAAGTTTCATTAACTTTACAATGTGATCCTTGTTCACATATGCAAATGAATTTCTGAAAATCGAAATAGTCCAATATTATGTTGTAAATATTCATAAGCTGTATTGAATTTTAATAGCTTCATATGAACTTGCAGACTCTCGTCAGCTTGAGCAAGAGTCTGAATGATAATCTGATAGTGAATTCACTGTGAAATTGATGAAACAAAACATTCAGCATCTGGGTCACTCTTTCTGAAATGACAGTGAAGTCTGCTCATAAAAGTTTCTGTAACGTCAAAATCAACAGACCATGCAAATGTGAGTCATGAATGAGATATGCTATGTAGGCTGATATTTCTTGGACAGCTGGTTTTTACATTTTCTATATCTCACCTCATGCGGAATGAATTTCTTTAAGGAGAAACAATATTGTGAAACAAATGCAGAACACATGCATGCACTTGTATGTGTATCTTAGGTGTCCGTAAAACAGCCCTTATATAA